ACCAGATGCAACGCGAGCAACTAATTGATATTAGCCTGCAAATTGGAAGACGAGGCACCATTCGCTGCGGTAGCAAAGAAGACGATATCATTCTTTCACGTGCGTGTCTTACCTTGGCGTCCAATACTACCATATCCTAAAATGCCGACAGTTTGGCCCACATTGTCATCAACCCCCCATTGAGATACTTCCTTCAATGTCAGCCAGCGATGCTGACTACTAGCTTCTAGAATCTTCGGATACATTCTTGAGTACGCAAGCCAATTCATGACCACCCACTCTGCGATCGGCGGCCCGTGGATCCCCGAGCTTGTGGACATGCGTATGTTCGTGTCACGGAAGATAGGACGGTTGATCAGATGATCCACGCCAGCCGAGAAAGTGTGCAAATACTTCAGCCTACGGTTCCATCATTAGCGACCGTCTGTTGATACTTCCAAAGTATATTCAAGTGGCTTACTGGGGAGTTTGATCGGGATGCGGTACAATGCCAAAAGCTGTGGTCATAATGGTTACCCTCTGAAGTAAATCTAACTCTCCCGGTTAGTTGTCATAGTGATTGGTGCTGTTGAGTGGTCCTCTAACCAGAAGGAATAATATCATCGGTGAGCTCCAATGTACCAGGGGGGATCTCAAAGAATGCCACCTCTATAGTAGAAAATTGCTGGCGAATTAAGTCAATTGCTTCCTTTGGTTCTGGCAAAGGAAGGAAGACGAGGAGGAGTTCCCGTGAATTATCTTTCGACATTTCTATCGTAGATAATTCGACTGCGATAAGGTTAAGCTAGCAAGAAAATAAGCTGAGAGAGAGAAAAAGGAAAGGTGAAATCGGTGGTTATATTTAAGTGTGTCGATTCAACTGCCGTGCAGGGTACTTAGTGCATGAGCGGGGAAAAACCCTTGCGCAGGGATGAAGGGGGGTAAAGCGGCTACATGTACTAACGCGGCAGTTTAACAAACAAATGAAAAGTTCTACTATCATATAAGCCAATTAAATCTATTTATTAGATCCCGCTTTATTACCTACCGGTCATAGTCGTCGAAGTGCTCGGATATCGACGGGTAACGGGTTAAAATTCCGAGCAATACGGTGGACGCAATGTATATCAACCAATCATAGGTATTGAAATACTTGGATAATTCACGGCGTATTGCCGACAATTGGGACGAATTTATCAAGACCCCCCACAACGACAAATTGGTATGTCTCGCACTGCACTGTTGACAAAGCAGCTGTGAGCTATACATTGAGGGTATTGGCAGTGATGGGATAGGCCAGGAGCTTGGTAGCCATATCAGGTGCCTTTGCGTTCCTGTAGAGCAACCAGAAGCTCCCGCGGAGAGTGCTACTCCATGTATCAATCCAACTTGCAAGTACAGCGCCCTGAAATGGGCCATGTTTGGTTGTAAGCACAGTCCTGGCAATCTAATCATTCTTTCACGTTGTTCTTCTTATGTTCATACAGAATATCTTACAGAATGCATTGCTTACTCTTTCCCTTTTGTTTCCACTGTACATGCTTACTAGGAGGCACTCTATGGTTGAACTCATTCTGTTACACCTTCCCACGGAAGGCCACTTGTTTCCACACTGACAAAGGATATGTTAGAACATTATGGATACGAAGTTCATTTCTGAGGAGTCACGACAAGAGCCATCTCAAGGTAAATGGATACCGGCACCGGTGGTGACACCACCGCGTTGAGCACCGATGAACACATGTCTAGCTCGAGGGCAACAAGGGCATTCCGTTTTGGTCCGTGCGCGTGGCAGATAATTGCGAACATGGAAGGGGACCGACTGCATATTATGTTATGATGATTTAGACAAAATATGCGCATCTAGTTTTGGACCAGGAGTTTGGTGGTGCTTGTCGTGTATATAATTATACCAACTTAATCATTCTCCATTGTTATAACTATCCCACAAAAGACTGTATCATTCGGACCAGGTACGTGACTTTTAGATAGATACCTTCTCGTACCACCTAAGTCTAGGCTGCGGCAAATCCGCTCCGTTGGATGTCAAAGTCATATCCGCATCCAACCTATATCTGTAAAATCCAACAATAATCCGCAATAGTATAATGTTCCCTAATTTAACTTGTTTTGATATTTTATATAACCCCTATACAGCTAGACTTCCCCATAACTGGACTTGAGTCGAAGGTCTTGACCCGAAATCCAACCCAGCCTGGGTTCGGGTTGAACTTCCTGGATGCAACTCGGACACAATACTGGTCCGACAATAAAATATATTTTACTATAGTAAATAGCTCTGCTTATAAAGATATCAATATAGATATTATTACCTCTTCTGGATTCGGACACAGTGTGAGTATTCTTTATCTATCCAGGCCTGGCATGGGTCACTCAAAATATTCCATTGACAACATCAATCCTCGATCTACCCGGTATTGGCAGGCTAGCTGGGGTTTGCATAAGTAACATCACACACTATATCCTGGTAATCAGAGAACTTGACCGACTTGTACGCGAACGCCTTTGACCCTGGAAAGATGAAGGACTGCAATTTATCTCCGTCGATTGACTGCAATTCGGGTGGTGCAAGATCGACGCCCTTGAGACCGTTCACCACGGCGTTAATCCCGGAGAAGGTGTCAATGAACAGGCTCCTATCGCCTCCCTGTGAATTGTCCTCGTCGCTGGACTTGCCTTTAACGGTCTGCAAACTTCCATGATCGCTAATCTGAAGGTTATATGAGACGGTTGACTTCCTGTCGATGGCATTGATGTCATCTTTGGTCAGGTTCTTCTGGACGAAGAAGCGGACAACATGATGCTGCTCAATCGTCATGGAACTGCCCGCAAAGGTGACGGAGCAGTTATATTTATTCCAAACCTCCACCGCTCCGTACAATCGGAACAGCCCACTATGGGCTTTGTCCGCACCATAACCCTCATAGGATATATGTATGACATCCTTACCCTTCTCTGTGACTTCAACCTTATCGGGGTCCTTTCCGTATTCTATCCTGACAGGAAAGAAGTTAATATGCGGTTTCAAGGGGTCGTCGTTATCGCCCGTAACCTTGACAATGGGATGTCCGCAGTACATTTTGGCATGAGATACTAATTGGTCTTTGAGGTAGTTGGCAAAGGTGGTCCGGTTGATGGCCATAGTCCCACTCTTTGTTGCCTTGTCTTCGGGAACAACCCAATTCCAAGTGAACTTTGGAAGAGGTGGATTAGACGGTAGCTTCTTATTGCCAGTAAGGCAAAAATAGTCCAACGTTCTGAACATTTTGCCGTCTTTCGCCGTCTGCAGACTGACATGGCGCTGGTAGTCACACATCACCAATTGGGAGCTGTCTTTGGATTGCACGACGGCCGTGATGGCGACAAGTGGAAGCCCCCTTTCGGCTGCAGACTTGCTCCAAGTGCCGCTGAACGTCTTCTGAAGAAGAGGGAAGACATCAGAGCCCTTGTCGAGGCCGGGAAAATCAGGCGTGCTATCGAGTGTGGCGCTATCAAGGTCGTAGAGCAGCTGCTGTAAGCTGAAAGCTGTGTCCTTGAGGTTCTTCAGCTTGTCTTTTATTTCTTGCTTGACAGTGGGATGGTTGTTTAGGTATGTTGTGTTCAGTTGTGTGTCTAAGTCTGCTACCTTGAGATTCACCTTCATCTCTGCATACCAGGGCTTGCCGGGTGGCTGTCGGTGGAGGACCAGCGTGTGGTCAGAAGACCCCCATCCACTAGGGATCTGCAGCTCAATGATGGATACCTCCGAGCAGTACAGCCTGAACCGTACATGGGTTGCATCCTCGTCGGCAAACTCCACAATGTCCAAATCCTTGGGCTGCATACCCGGTGGAATTCCCATCTGCAACTTAATGCCATATCGAAATTTGGCATCTACCAGGGGCTGCCAGATCGATTGATCAATCTTACCAGCAGGAGTTGTGAATGGGTTCACATTTTTAGTGAGTTTGAGGAGCTCCTCCAGTGTGATGCTTTTGTCCACATTGCCTTGGCTGTCCACCAGGAAGCAAAGATACTGGACCGGTTGATCAGAGTTATTGAAGTATGCACGGAGACCATCGTTGATACTGGTCTCGGTAGTTGAAACGACAAAATCGTATCCGGTCTTGATTGTTTTGTCGCCATTTTTAAAGTCGTAGTGGAAGTCAGAACCCGACAGATGCGATTCTGTGTCGGCGCCCATGATGTTTCAGATTAGGGGTGTTGGTCGTTTGTTTGAGAGGAACGATAAATATAAAAGAGGTTTTCGATGGCTCTTCGTGACCAGGAAGGGCGCGCTCGCTGCCCTCTAGATATACAACCTCACTACATCCTTTCGAGTACACATTTATTCTCCATGTCACGGTGAGTAAGTGGGGGGCTGATCAATTGCTGTTACGTGGCACATCATGCAAGCGCCTGTTTTGGGTGGAAACGAAAAGACATAGCAGCTGAACATCCAACTGATCAGCATCAGATTCACTGATAAGACGTAAAGGAAGGAATTGAAAGCGGACCAGGCAACAAGGCAACCTTCGGAGACTCATATCTTTGCACGGGCCAGAGCTTTGCTGGCATCGCGGGGGCTGACTCTTAAAGTTTTCAGCTCATGCGTGCAGACGCCCAGTGCCATGGTTTGTAGATCCACCCGTTCATGCGGGCCAATCGTTCCGATCATGCGTTGTTCAGCTGCTCGATACCCGCCGGCAAGGCCCGAAGCGGACGAGTCGATCCTTGACGGCAAATGTGTTCTATACTGAAAGTAGAAAAGATAAGCCCAGTTTCAGCTGAATATTTCCACTTTCATTCGAAGCAACTAGTGGAACTTAAACCCCTCATACTAACATATCCGGTCAGGTGTCAATGGGGAACACATCCCCATAGCAGACAGGATGAGTTAAGCTGATTGACAGGCTACATATATAGTCGTCTTCGCGGTGTGGATGGCAATCAGAAAAGACTTGCACCCCTCCTCCACCCAGGATAATCGCCAGTTACTTCGCTTGAATTGGTCGACCATAATGGCCTCCACAGACAATTCGGGAAAGAGGCTTCGTCTGACCTACGACACCGAATTGATCCAAAATTACATTCAGGGCGAGATAGTCTCCCCGAAAAATAAGTTCGAGGCCCTCCAGACAAAGGATGGCCACACTCTGCTCTTTGGCGTCGACTCTTCCAATATATTCCATGTCATCGAAGAGAGCAGCGGCAAACACAGTACAGGTTGGGCGCTGAGCGATCTTTCCACAGCGGCGATCAGCTCTCAACTACCGGGAAAGAAGGATACGATGGTGAGGACATTCGACGTCGGGCAGAGTGTTCTCGATCAAACCATCGGAATGGCCATGGCTGTTCGAGTTGAAGGGAAAGACCACCTTTTCGTATCCCTGAAGAATTCCAACTCGGATACGTCCTGGATAAAGAACCCGGAATGGACATTGGTCCCGTTTGATGCCGCCAATGAGACACAATCAAGCATTACCGTTGTAGGTATCTGGTTTGCAGAGACAGATAGCCAGAAACAATACCTTGTTGTTGATATTGATCGATCTGGATCGTCCACGATGAAGGATATCGCACGCTACTATGTCGATCCGTCTATAACTTCTGGTAGTCGCTGGGTTAAACATGATGTCCCGGTCGACATCGCCGCCGGCTACTATCAAAGCTGTATCGGACGTGTGCACCGTGGCAGGATCGATGGAATCTACACTACTGGAACCTCTGGAGGCAGCCCCCAGCTTGATTATGTGCCGCTTGAAAACATCTTCGGGGATGGACCGCCCCTTCCAACCCGGTTCAAGCTGCCAGACAACAAGATTCCATCCGCTATAGCCACTGCTCGTAAGGAAAATGGCGAGACAGACCTGTATATGCTCAGTGGCGAGACTCTCTATCGCATAGCAGCCGAGAAGCAGACGGATGATGCTACCGCGGACGCCGTTCTGACCAATAGCCTGCTTTCTGGAACTGGAGTGCTACGCGCCATGATCCACCAAGAAGTGTTGACTCTTTTCGGCAAGAATGGGAGTGATCAGGTCTATTGCCTTTCATGCAACATCGAAAAGGTGGCTGATCAAAGAGCATGGAATGTCCCAGTTCCTATCTCCAACGGAGTCGAGCAGATTTCGGCGTACGTGAACAGGGCAGATGGGGGAAACACCATATTCACATCTGGTGGGGGCAGGCTAGGCAAGATCACTCAGGACATCAATACTCTGTGGAAGTCACAGAATATCAAGCTGGCACCATCCTCAACCACTGAAAAGGCCCTTGTCTTCAAATCTTACACGACCTTCATCCATGTGATGGATGACAATGAATTAGCGGCCAGCGGTGCCACTCTGAAGGTTTCAACAGCCTCGCGCACACCCGTCTATATCAACGGCTTGTATTACGTCCTTGGACAGAGTCCAATTGAAGTCAAGGCAGACAGAACCGGCTTGATGACGGTAATCGAGGAGACGCCGAATATCAACGGTGCAACGCTCACAGTATCAACGGATGGAGGTAGGACACGTACTGCCATCAACCCGATGAATAAGTCCTTTGAAAAGCTTGGAAAGCTCGATTCCAAGGACTCCCTCCGTGATGCCAGCTTTCCATCGGAGACGCCTGGAGGGGGGGTTGTGGGAACACCGAAGAAAAGTCCGCTGGTAGAGCAATCGACCAAGGATAGCGACCTCGATAAGGTCGCCGCAAATATGGCAGGGCTGAACAAGGCGTACTCTCATGTTAAAACTGCCAAACCCGCAGGGCGAAGCCTTCACGGCAACCTCCGAGCCATATCAAGTGGGGACTTCGGTAATGATATCCTCATCGGGATTGGGGACATCTTCAGTTGGCTCGAGTCTGGTATCGAAGCGTGGTAGAGGTTATTTGGCATGAGGCAACGCAGGCATGGCACTTCGTCGTGACGATCGCCGGGGATATCTACCGCGCCATTCTAGACACCGTGGAGGCCGTTATTGCTGCTGTCGAGTGGATTTTTAATGCCATCAAGACGGCGATCAAGGCGATTATTCAATTTATAGAGTTCTTGTTTGAATGGGACGACATCAAACGGACCAAGAATGTGCTCTACAATATTTCGAAACAGTTCTTTCAGCATCAGATTGACAGCATTGGGGACGCCAAGAGCACCTTTAACAATAAAATTGAATCTGTGGAGAAATCTCTCAACGAATGGGCTGACGTCGACTGGTCACCTCTTGGGGATAGCATGAGCAAGCCTGCGTCGAGCAGCAGCAAAAGCAACTCCCAGAATCAAACGCCTGGCTCTCAGTTGCTAGTTCATCATTACAAGAACAACGCCAACAGTGTCAGTGTTGTCGCTGACTCGCCGTTTTCTGGGGATATCAATAAGGACCCTGCTCAGAGAGCCCTTAACGATCTACATAGCGCACTGTCTAAAGAAGATAAAGTGATTTCCGGCTTTCGCGACCAGATTGGAGAAGTGGCCAAGCAATTCGCGACAATGACCATCGAGGACGCTATCAAGAAGATCGTGGCTATCTTAGTTGATGGCATCCTTGCCAGCGTGGAGGTGGTAGTCGATGCCCTCCTGGATCTACTGCAGGATCTGGCGACAGCAGTAGTGGGTATGGTGGACGCAAAGCTTCATATCCCCATTATTTCTGATATCCTGAATGCCATTGGTATCCCGGATATCTCTTTTCTTGACCTCTTCACCTGGGTTGCGGCTGTCTGCTACACCGTCGTGTATAAGATCGCAAAGGGAGAGCCTCCCTTTCCGGACAACAAGGATGTACAATCTGTGATCGATGCCAGCAGCTGGAATGATCTAATTAACAAATTGCATCCTCCTGCAGCATCCTCAGTCGCTTCTAGCGCCCTCTATGCCATGCCCGTCTCGGGGCTCGCCTCTGCGTCAGCTATGACTCCCTCAAGCAAGCCAACCGTTCTCCAGGATGTCATTTTCATCACTGGACACTCCGTGAGTGGAATATGCGGAGTCCTTGGTGCATTTGTAAACGCCGCAGAAGCTGAGTTTCCAACTGGTGACAACCCGATGTCCACACCATCAGCCATCCTTGGGTTCATTGGCGCAGCATCCGAAGCCGTGGCCGATATTGTGTCACCAAAGGATCCCCTTGAGGAGCCTATCTTCAGTGCGCTTAGCACCGCCACGAGTGTCACGACTGCAGTCTCCAAAATTGTGTTCAGTAGCTATGGTCAGAAAAGGCTGAGCAGATTGGGATTACCCACAGCTGAAGACCCACGCGGTATGGGCGCGGGGATTAACGTGTTACTGGTGGGTGTCGGTGCCGCCACAACAATCAAACATTTTGTGGAGCTGGCCAAAGATCCAGCTGGAAAAGACCGGTCAGCTGCGATTGTCGGGGAAGTCTCAAATCTGACTTCTTATATCAGCCGAATCTCGTATGCATTGGCTGTCAATGATATCGAGGAAGACACGCGGCAGGTAGTCATCGCAGTTATGACTGTGAGCAATCTAATCACAGCCGGTCTCCAGATAGCAGAGGCGATTGTTGATTAAGATTATTTATATATCAAGCTTAGCCATTTCGTTGTCCAAGCTATATGCGGTTTCTCCTTTCCTGTGACCGACCCAAAAAAACGTTATGGAACTGTATTCGTAGCTTTTAAGATTCAAACAAGATACTCGTGTGGGCAGAATTGGTTGATTGGGTTCCCCGCTGGGACCCCGTAGCTTCTGGGGGTAGACCCTACGGAGTAGATCTAGAGGAGCTCCATAGTGGAGCTGACTAGTGAGATCTGTGAAGGAGAATCTTAGAACTATGTAGTGAACCGCGGTGGTAATAGTACCTTACGACCAGACGAGTCTACAAATAATTCGTTGAATGACCGCCGATACCACAGAGGCGTGTGCTGTCTAAAATCTACTTGTTGTACAGCGAGAGTGGAATCAGAACATATATTGTTGGCTAGGAATGATGGCCGGTTCAAGTGTAATATTTTTTACTCAAGCACCTATCGATTGACGCAGCTATGTCGTCTCACAGATGGATAGATCGATGTTCAACTGAGAGTGGACACGCAATGTATATTGAGGATAGAGACCGAGAAGCTATTGTGTCAGTATGGGCACTTGGTTATTACGAATATCGAGTGCCCAACCAAGGAGCTGTGTGATATCCAGGTGGTGGGACCCCGAGATGTCAGCCAGCTTTAGATATGGACCCGGAACCCGCCCGAACGATTTATAGCATACATTATTCCTCGCCATGCGCAATCACACTGGTGCCCAGCTCCAGCATACCCATTTGGCACCTCCGTATCTCATGGGGTGCCTTGCCCACAAACTGACTCCTGTGAGTAATAGTTCCTGACCGCTAATATGTGCGTTTTTCTATACTTCAGTCTCAACACATGAATCGTCATGTACATATTATGTAGTTGTGAGACTCTTGGTCTACCTAGCCCAATTGAGTAGACATTATAACAGTTATATTCAGCAAACCTCAACGCCCCCATATAGCTAGATTATAACGGTTAGGTTATGCCACTCTAATTATATCTCTCATAGCCGTTAGCGATTAGCTCCTAAGGAGCCCTTACCCCACTTTCCAATTCCACGCTTTAAGATTGAACTTTTGAAAGCTCACCAACATATGCGTCGGTTTTGTAACGCACAATGAATTTTAAATCACCGAAGTTGTAGGGCCGAAAAACTATTACATATATTGGCTGGCTGACCAGACTCTCGGTATGAAGCGACTGAATCAGTCACGTTTTTGTGCGAGGAAGGTAAGACCATGAATGCCCAACCAGGTAGGTATATACCTATTAACCCCCCTTTATCTTTCACATCTGTTCTTTTTGTTATATTCAACCAAACAAATCTATCATCACTGTACTTGAGCACGTCGTATCTAGAGGCCCTCCACATAAAGAGATCATTTGAAAATGTCGGTGACATTCCCAGTTGACTACATCATGGATGTAAAGCTCGAGGCCAACCTAGGCTCTGATATCCCCCTCTACGATCGTCGGTTTTACAACGAAAGGTGCCCGGATGAAGAACCCAGCTTGAAAAGGGTCAACGGAACGACCTTCAACTTCGAAGAGGAAGACTACTGGCTATTCTGCGTCCATCTGAACAAAGCCGAGATGGAGTTCGCAATTGGGGGCGAGAATCCCGCCTATGCGACCTCACACCCAAACTGGCGTAATTTGTCCACGAAAAAGGATAGGGAGCTTGTGCTGCATTATCACGAGGTTGGAATTTTTAATGCGCCGTGTCAGACCTGGTGTGATTTCAAGCTCGATTTCGATCGATATGTCGGGATTCGGTGTCCCAAGATGACAAACCCGGCTATCACGATCAAGGCAAACGGGAACCATGGCGAGGTCAAGTGGGTCGGCTTGTTCGTCAAATCGAGCGTCGAGGACAAAAACGAATTTATTGCAGTCAAGACGACGAATCGCTTATTACCCGCGTACGCTAAACGTAACGAGTCATACGAATGGTATTCGCCCGATCGCGGCGTGGATGTAACAAATGATCGCTGCATCATGCTCTGGCCCAAGCAGTTGTATGGAACCACGGGGAATCGGCCAGATACATATAAGCAGTTTGTGACTGTCGATCCGAACAGCCCGCTGGCTGCAAGGCATATCAAGAGGGTTAAAGAAAGAGTGAGCTCCCTGTTCACCTGTCTATCCAAATCAATATCTTTACTAACAGTCCGCATCTTCAAGGTCGAGAATGGAACCGCTCTCGATGTCACAGCCCAAGGCAGATCCTATACATGGAATGTCAACAGCACAACCGCGATCTGGGGTACTCACACCAAACCACGCGGTGGTGGTCGTGGACGGTCTGTATTTAATTACTCGGCCGGGACCAAGGTTACGCATGATGACATGGAAGGTGTCAAGATCCTCCTGCGCGTCTTTGGAACGGTGACTAAGATGGCAACTGGGATGGTGAAGGGCGAATTTGCTTCTGTCTTGGAAAGTATTGTCACTCTGCCACAACAATTCGACAATTCAAGTGTGGATCCGGACGTCAAGGGCTTCATTACGGCGTTGGCAGCTCTCGGGCAGAATCAGTGGAATAATCGTCCTAGACAGCCGGGGAGCAAAGAGAAGACCATCAATACGGCGGGAGTCGAGCTGCTCTCTATGAAGCAGCACCCGTTCGATAGTGACTTTGGTTGTGACTAGCTGTTATTACTAGGAAATCACGACCTGCATACATTTACATTCCCCCAAGGCAATACTAGTCTCTACCTTCAAAGCTAAAGCACGTCTCAATATACAGTCCACAGTACTGAGCCCTATCAAGGGATCAACAGAATGAATCAATCTGCGTATATGTTTTCCAACCGCTTAATTGTTGAACCTACCGCGTTTTATTGACCTCCGTGTGGCGGATTCTGCGGCCTCGATCGTCTCCATTGCCCCATTACACCCATGCTCAAGTACGAGGCCTCGATTTTTGGCTAGTATCATTTTGTTTAGATCGAGAGCTGTCGTCATGACCATATGCGTGAAGGTTGCGTTATTATTCGCCGATCTCGCTAGTATTTCGAACATCTTTTCCTTGTCGGATGAAATAGACAGTTCCCGTTTGCTGCTTATTGATACACGCAAATCTTCGCTATTAAAGCTGTACTGCGATTGTATCCATCGCAATTGGAGCTTCTTCTTAAGCTGGCCAGTCGTGGAGTTGACTATTGTATCAGGGGCCGGTGACGTGTGCGTTTATAGTTGCTATTAAAGACTACCTTGATAAGGTCATATTCACGTGCGATCTTCTTGATATCTTCAAGAGTCTCTCGGCCCGATGGCTAGGGACTTGGTCCACCTCAGGATGCGAGAGACTACAGACAAGGACCCTTCCCAGTTATCCGAAAACTGTGCCACGAAGACAGATCATTCCGTTGCTAGTAGTCAATGGCTATTTAGTCTGACTAGGGCCTTGTGCCACATATTAGACCAATTTACGCCATGGTTTCCTTTCCTGGCGGGGGATGCTTTGCCAAGAGCATGGACTATAGACATTCGTGGTAGTCCTTATAGCGTGAGAGAGCCAAGCCATGGGATCGTAAGATGGCATGATTAATGAGTTTAAAATGTAGATAGTAGGTGCTACTGGAAAGCAGAAAAAAAGAGCTTGTACGCTTTAGGGCTACTGTCTAAACACGTAACCTCTGTACTTAATTGAGTCTCGCGTATCACGTCTACACTGAACGGAAACGACAGCGACTCGTCTCCTACAAGGAACTTCAGTGCCATTTGGATTGCATGGGAGTTTAAAGTATAGTTACATATTGATTTGGATACCACACACAAAAATGCACCATTCCGTTCTCTGGTGATTCCGGACATACGAAGGGTGTCACCGTTAGAATTGTCAATCCACCTAGATTCACTAGATGATCCGTATCCAGGGCTTCAGAAATATTTCGGTCACTCTAGCGTCATATCCGAATCGAACTCAGCACTCACCCAGTCGTATGGTACAAAATGAGCCGAAAGCGCAGTCCCTTGATATTGTAACACTTTAGATCTATAAGACGGAACATGTATGTATGTAAGTATGAAGATAGTGATTGACGGTGACTTGTAAAAGATTCTACTCACATATCCGCGGGATATTTTGTCAGCATTTTCAACAACCGTGGACAAATTGGCCCGTTGTAAGATTGAAACAGCCACCCTTGGTTGGAGTACACTCTTCAGGGCATTCGCATTTCGCTTTGGGATCTGAGCCCAATGCGGTGACAAAAATTGCCGAACCGATAATTCCTGCGATAAGAGTAAAGAATTTCATTGCTGGATTGGATTAACTTAGAGGCAAGATCTTTGATTGTGGAAGGTCAGCGAGGGGAGCGGGCGTGATCAAAATCTGATGATAGACAATGAATGGGGCAAGTAACCATGGAATTCTGGGCCCTTTAAGGTTCTTGTCCCTGATAAAATCTATTGTGTGCCTTTTTACCAAGGGTCCAGGAAGTTTATGTGACCGTTGCCTTGTTTGCTAAGTGGACCGTTTCTCTCTAGCCAAGCCCTGTTTCAGTCAGTGCCTCCTCTTGGCTTCTAGAAGTATCACCATCGTCTAAATATATAGGCTGGTCTCTTGGTTAACTCCCAGCTAATGAAGTATAAAGTATATGTTGTTTAGGCTACCTGTACGATCAGTGAAACCTATGGCTAGTATTCAAGTGTTGCATTGGATGAAAATATTTCACCCCTAGTGAGCAAATTAGGGTTCGCAGTTTCGGAGTTGGGAGAACTTTTACCAACGGGGGCCCAACGTAACCTTCGACACCCAGTGTCATAATTTTACAAGGTCTTTTTTCTGCGACCATGGATGTCATTGTAGCACAACAGAGGAGGTCACCTCTCAACCCTTCGAGACCTTCGCTTCGCGAAGTTATTCGACATACTGGTTCCAGGGCTCTTGACAACAGCTACGGGTGTGATATGCAGACGTGGATGTGCAGGAGAGTTTTTCATGCCGCGCAAACATTTACCCACCCACGATGCCGGCCCACCTCTTATGGTTTGAGCCTCAAGAACCCTCGGGTCTCAGCTCCTTAATACTAAGAATATAACGTGTTGAATCGTCTATACTTCGGGAGTACCAGACGCAAGGAAGCTGGCCTCCAATCTTTGGTATGGCGTCAGCTCAATATGATAATTTCTACTGCAAACAGCCTGGTCATTGTGGAGACGAGGTTTCTGAGATAGCCTTTAAAATTAAGCGCATTGACCCGAGCCTGCAACGAGAATGGCACGGGCAAAGCTTCGTCTATTTGACTGCATGGTGTCAAGGATCTCTCGCGCGATAATAGCCGGAAGCCCGATCGAAAGTCACACAGGTAAATAAGTAAGTAATTCGATGAAAGGTAAGTTGCCTTCCGTTATTCTAGACCATGTATTTGATGTGCACTATTGTTTAACCTAAAGCTCCATATGCCGATCAGTAAAGTCTAGAGGACTCCTAAAGCCCTAATGCATATAGTGATATCCACGGCGTCTTTCCGAAATGTTGTACGTTCCTTGAATCCGGCATCTTCAACTTTCTCGGCTCAGTTCATGGCACCAGCGGTATCCTCCTCTTTTGTTCCTCTCTTCTATCCTACTACTACTGGCCACGAGTAGGAACTATCAAGGGGCATCCAGACTAGTGCACCTCCATTACCTAGTGGGATGCATCATACCATGGGCATCTTTGGGGACCTGAATGTCTCTTCAATAATATTCGAAGTCTTACTGCCAGGTGAGCTCCGCTTATTCGGTGAAGATACTATCAAATAAGCACTTCTGGGGAATATGACTCGATCCGGAAGCATTGAGGCAATCTAGAGTCTAAGTATAGTAGCTAAGGGTGAAACTGCAACAGTTCTCTCCACTGAAGCGGCGATCAGGCTTGCTATTTTCATAATATTATTAGAGTGCGCCCTGAACACAGTTTTAAAGGGAAGGTTAATGTACTGGATGCATTGCAGGCTCACCAGTAACAAGCGAATCACTATGCCGCCTGATGTAGATGCGCATGTTATCAATGAAATTGTCGTGCTTCTTCGCGATAATCGCAGACTACCAGCCACTGTTGGATGAGCTCTTCACGCATTTGTGTGTACAGATGCTCGGACAATGAATTCTAGTGCTGCCACGGCAGCACAGCATAATACTACCATCCGATTCATTGGCTATATCCTCTTGTAGTCGTCTTATTACTCTCTTGATTAACCTTCGCTTATTTTGAATATGAATCCTAGTAGTTGGAGTATTACGTCATACCATTACCTGCATATATTTTTTGCCCACAGAAAGTCTACATTTGACCAGATCGTATCGACCTTGTAGTGGAAGCATTCATGTGCGGCTCTCTCGTGACTCGAGGCATATGCGTGCAAATCAAAATGTAGGGAGATTATGCAAAAAGGGCACACCTCAGGCAATGGCGGACCATTGTAGTTCTGGGCAAGGGAACGGTGGGTGGTAAACACGCTTGGTTTGTACAATTAAGTACGGACCGAACGTAGTAAAACATTTGACGGTCCTCGTCCCTGGGGCACGAACCTCACTGTGAATCGCGTGAGAATCCGAGTGGCCACCCTTGGCGGTTTCAGTGGCCAGCTCACCTCCAACCGCTAGGGTAGGGACTTTGCGATGGCGACAATTGTCTCACGGCTCAATATGGCTGATTTGAGACCAGACCGTTAGAATGTGAACTGGGATGTTGAAAAGGATATTGTAATGAGTGTCATTGCACTGGCATTCTGCGGTGCAGGAAAACACCAAAAGTGAGCCAATGGGTTGTGTTTGTACTCGAAAGTAGGTTACCAAACACTGAATTCAAGTAACCTCAAAAGCCAAAACAGCCTGCTGCAATCGGTATAAGGCTTCGGATTGACTTGCACTAACGTGTGCTTGATCAAGAGGTAAAAAGATGGGTATTGGTACCTAAATTAAATCTCGTTCGCTTGCCTTCAAGGTTGAACCCACACTGATCTTATCTTGGTCAATTCCGTCGGCGGATACCCGGAATTGGGCTTAATTAGGCCTAGTTCCGGATAAACTAACTTGGCCAGTAGAACCCCTTGTATTATTATTTAATTTTACTACAGATTCACCACAATGATCGAGCACTAGTACACCATTTTTTGATACATAGATATATAATTATTTCGATATTTATGCAATTCTACATACCTTAGATACATAGATTCCCTATTAAAAAGTTCTAAATATTCTCAGAGCGACAAAAACCTCAAATTCTAAATGTCTCGAGAAGACCCAGTATCAAGTCAATATATATTTCCACCTAGCTAGTAAATTAAATCTTGAAGGTAACGACAACGTATTCGAAATTTCAACTCTCCATATAGATATCTTGATACCTTTTTTCAAACGATATCAAGTATGAAGAGCCAAATTACCTAGTAAAATGAGATATGTAAGTAAGGTTTTAGGTTAAACCTCTGAAGAATAAAACCGAAACTCACCCGGCCGATCAACCCTAAAACTGATTAGTTGACTGACCGAAAAGGGATATTCTAACCAGGCAGCTCTAGTTAGATTCAGCGATGCGTCTGGATGAGGCAAGTGTAAGCACTAGGGCAGACTACTTAGGAGGCACTGATTTCCATATTAGTTTACCTTCCCCAAATTCCCCGCAATATGGGGTGGAAATCCCCCACATCCAAGGAAAAACCCCGAAAAGAGGAAGTCGGAACCGTCGAGGTAGTCTTATAACCAAAGTATAAAGCCCGGCTGTACGGTTGAACCCTGAGCTCATTTATATTGACTGCACTATTCAGATGCACAGAATGCAGTTTTTCATCCGCCGCCTGTTCGCGGTGGGCCTGTTACTCACGGCCGCCCACGCATATGCGACCAGCAGGATGGGGATGCTGCGCACCGTCATCACGACTGATATGGAGCAGGACGACCTCGCCTCACTCATCCGGTACCTACTCTACACCAATGAACTCGATACACAGGGCATCATCTACAGCTCCAGCCGCTTTCACTGGGCCGGTGACGGCAATGGCACGAAGTTCTTCCTGCCCGACCGCGAGTATACCTCCCCACAGTGGACATGGCGCTGGACGGGAACGCGGACTATCCAAGATAAAGTCGTCCCAGCATATGCAGAAATCTTCCCAAATCTGCTGAACCATGATCCATTCTACCCGACACCTGACGAGCTATTGTCCAAAGTCAAGATCGGCAATATCGAGTTCGAGGGCGAAATGGATCATGACTCGGATGGGTCTAATCTCATCCGTGCGCTACTGCTCAACGAAGATCCACGACCGCTCTACTTGCAAGCATGGGGTGGCACCAACACCATCGCCCGTGCGTTGAAGTCAATCGAGGAGCAGTACTCGGGCTCTCAGCAGTGGACGCAGACCAAGGACATCGTCTCCCGGAGAGCTGTCATCATGGCGAGCGGGTTTCAGGACGAAACATATGCGAACTATATCTCCGTTAACTGGCCACAGATCCGCGTGGAGCAGTTGGGGGCCGGATACAGTACTTGGGGCTACAACTGTAATAAGGGCCAGGGCAACGTCCGTGGCTTGCCAGACGCCCACGTATACTTTACCGGTGACTGGACCAAGGCGAACATCGAAACAGGACCATATGGGAAGCTGTATCGTTCCTGGCTCGACGGCCAATCTATGCCAGGGGACCCCATGGACACTTTCGGCTATCGGAATACGGCGAATTCGTCAAGCTTTTGTAAACCACTGGGCCCGTACGCCTTCCTGTCCGAGGGTGACAACGTGGCTTTCAACCCCTTGATTACAACTGGGATTCATGATCCGGCCAACCCAAATCTCGGTGGGTGGGGCGGTCGAGCCAAGCAGAACAGCACATCGCCGAACTTGTGGGAGCTGGTTGAAAGCGAGAAGAATAGGACCGGCGCGGAGCTGAATAGCTACACAACGGACCGCTGGGCCGCGGCTGTGCAGAACGACTTTGCGGCTCGTATGCAGTGGACTCTGACACCGAAATATCAAGACGCCAACCACGCACCCTCGGTACAGATTCTGAACGGAACCACCGTCCAGGCACATCCTGGGACCACTATAACGCTGGCTGGTGCGGTTAGCGATCCGGACGGTGGCAACATCACCACAACCTGGTGGCAGTACTTCGAAGAAGGCACATACCCGGGCCGTGTGAATGTGACTGAGTCCGGTAAACATCGGGCGGATGTAACGATCCCAGATGATGCCCAAACTGGCCAGAATATTTCGATCATTCTGCAAGGCACGGACGATGGGACATTCCCACTGACCCGCTATGGCCGGATTTTTATTCAAGTCATATAACGGAGTGAACCTGGACTGGTATGACCCTACAAACTCTAGTATTGATCAAAGAAGATAGGAAAGTTGCAGGCCTTTCTGTGTAGATTCACGTGCGCAGCAATACCTGTTGAGTACACTACAATAATTATGGCTTCTCCTTGACTGATTCTCAGGTCTCATTAGCACTATCCCTTGCTAGCTGCATCGGCATAGAATGTACATATATATAACTACTCGCGGAGGTCGATCTGCTTCCCGGCAAAATACCGATATCTTCTCGCGCCCAGAACCCGAAGTTTCTTCCCGTACATGATAAGCAAAGCATTGCCAAGAAGTATGACGGTTAAAATCACACTAAATGTAATGTAAAAGCCCGTTAACCCGGAGCTAGCAATCCAGGGAGCCAGAGCAAAGACAAAGATGGTCGAGATGAGGTTGCGGATAAATGTAACACCGACGAGAGAGCCCGCCACGATCTGTCCAAGTAAATCTGTGAGCGGTCGAAGCACGGAGATGTGATTGGGATTGCAACTTACATCGGTGTAGGCATCCGTCAGATACGTGAGAGCGACGCTACTGGGTGGTGTTGAGCCAAAGGAGGCCAGTCCGAGGCCCACCGCTGGCACTGGCCACGGAAGCCCCTTATCCAAACCGATTCCAAACATGATCATTCCCGCCGGTACAAAGGGAGTAAAAGCCAAGGAGAGCCACAGGCGCATCTCCGGCTCATAAATCCCATTGTTTCGCCGCGCGAGAAGGAGAATGAGTTTGTCACTCAAGGGCCCTGCGAGGAGTATTCCCAAGGATGTGCCAATGAATGAGGGGAGACCCATCAGGCCAATCTGCGCGGCAGTGAAATTATATGGCGGAAGAGTCATCCACGATGAAAGCGTTGTGACGGTAACCGTCACCGCCGCTGTCATCGCTCCATACACAACAGCCATAAAGAATATGGCGGGAATGGTGAAAAGCATGACAAAGGGCTCGTAGCTATAACGTGCGAAGTTGGCCAGAGAGCTTGGTGAGGTTGTCCATAGCGCAAGCCTCTGCAGATAGGTCTTCTTTGGAATCGAAGGGTCGATCCAGTGCTCTATCTCCGCTTCCATTCGCATTTTGTTGTCTGCCTGTGGATTCTCTTCATCCCTTGATACGGTTTCTTGATGTTCAAAACTCTCCTTTCCGTCCTGGGCCTTCACTGGTGACATGGAGGGAGGAACCTCCTCAGTAGGGGTCGCAACAAACTTGGTTTCTTCATAGAGAAACAGAAAAGCGACCAGACCGACACCGAATAGGATCACCATCCACCACCAGACCCACCGCCAGCCCTGTGAGTCCACGATGTACCCGCCAGCCAATGGAGACAGGCTAGTTCCGATGGTCATGACCCAGACGTAGATGCCATTCATCAAACCTCTCTGGTGGACGAAATAGATATCTGCGACCGTCATCTGCACCAGGACCTCCGCCAACGCGCCGACAACGCAGCTCAGGATATTGACCACCATTAAGTCCGCAACGTTCATCATCCGTGCTGTCCACACGCTGATAGCGCATTGGAAGGCAGTGCTGAAGACATATACCGGCCGTCGACCGTATTTCAGGGCGAAGGGGATGATAATCACGCTTCCGATACAGAGCGCTCCACATCCTGCTGCGTAGCTGTCATTCAGGATCTCGAAGCTGAACCCGAGCTCGGCGTTCACAGGGCCCCAGGTGACCGTTGCAACATCGATTCTGAATGAGTTGTGACTGGTGAGACTGGCAGAAACGTGTGGCGGGAAGGAATAGCACCTACAATGCAAAAACCATCATCACATAGTAGGAAACTAGGGAAAAGTTGAGGTGCTTGCGCCATGTGGGCCAATTCTTTTGTATATCAGCGGGGCTTCCTTGCTTTCGCGGATGCACAAACACTCACCAGCGGATCGTTGGGGTCATGACTGGGTTTTGGTTGTAGGATAACGCTCGAACCGCGGTCAGACTCGGACGCCACTGTCATATGTAACATTCAGCAAAACGGCCATCAAGGGCAGATATGGGGCTCATCTATACCTTCGATGCGAACCGTGCCAGGTGGCCATGCTGGGTCAATATCCCTGTTTTCAGATGTCATTGTGATTGTTTTGACGACTCCACGTTCTAGGACAGTGCAAGTCAGAAGGGTTAATGTTCTTTACCAGCTCTGCTCATGGCGGCCTCAGCATCTTATAGGGGTAGTCCATGGAAACTCCGCGCACCCGCCTATATGACATTCCAGGCCATGGTATTGTGTTCTTGCGACATCGGTTACGCTCCGAGCAGGGATAAGCTACTTGATACGGCGATCTCTGGGGTTCCCCACTAGTAATGCGGGGGTGGAGCCGCGTGGTTAGAGCTGGAAGGGATAGTTGGAGCGACAGTCCAATGGCGTCAATTTGCGCCAGGTACCGTCGCTGCTGGAGGGCCGTGCGAGGAAACCTTGCCGATGCGATCTGGCGCGCCACGCCGTATTCATGACCCACAGGCTAGAGAGTCGACATGGACATGACCTCACCGTTAGTCTAGAGGGCTTTAGCTGTTCTGGGGAATTGTTACGATCCATGTATCTCTGGCAATGGTAGTAAGAGGTGTTTCGTCAAATGTGGTCATAACAACGAAATCCCTCGTGCAATTCACAATGGCATGGTCTTTTCCCTAACTTCTTGGACACCGTTATCGGCCTCTCTCGTTCTATCGTTCTCTGCTCCTTCGGTCGAAGGCCAACGCGCAGAGTTTCCACCGTAGAGCTAGCCAGAACGAGTCAACCTGCTCTGTCGCTTAGGGCTCAACAGGTAACTAAAGAGAGTCGACACAAAGAACTCGCTGCCGAGGTTCCCGGGACGGTACCCTAGTACTAACATTGACACTAAATACCGAGGGACTGACTTTTCCTCCTCTCCTTCATCAAGGATGAATCTATCATTGCGCGTCAATATCTCTCCCCATACCAGATCAATCATACGACAATTCAGTTACATCGGAAGCTTCCGACATGACTGCCATGGAACAACATTTTGTGGCGTCCATAGCCTCGGTCGATGTTGACTGAGCCTGCCGCCGCACCGTACGAGCTTTCCACCATCTCATTATCAAATCTACCGACGTTCATATCAACTCGATATTCGATCAATCCTTGGACTATGCCCCCATCATCATTAAGGCAGGCAACAACGAGAGCATTTGCATAGCCCTCATAGGCAGCGTCCGGATGAGTGTGTGACTAAGCGACAGATCTAGTGCCAACTATTCTGCTGCCAATTTCTCGGTAGCTATGCCAAGCTGTTGGATGGATCTCATTAAATCCCATTCCGATATGAGCCACAGCTGCCATACATCGTGATCTCTTATTAACGACTGCCGACACTTGGATTGATTCGCATGGTCCCGAAAAGGGGCTTTCGACATGAGGAGAGACTGTTCAAATATTCAAACCCTTTATCCGTCTGCTACAACACGATCACGACCATACAAACCGCTTCCAACGCCACCTGATCATATCTACTTCTGCACGCGGAACGAGAAAGTGCAGGACCCAAGGGATCAGTATTCTGTCCGTCCTGAGATCTATATATAACAGACCACGGCGTGGTCAATTTGTTCAACAGTAAAGTGGCACCTATATTCTCAAGATCTGCAATCTTCAGCATTTAGATAGTCCTTCCGTACGATGAAAACCTACCATTGAGATCCTCATCTGAATATGAATTAACCTCTAGTGGTGACGCAGCTACCAGGTCAAAGCCTTCAAGCCAAATTCTTGATTTTCAAGCTCCAATTACCTCCCATCCCAGACGAGTCGATAGGCACCGCGATACTGCCCCCAGAGGCTTTATGTCTCTAAGAGAGAGATCAACAGCTGTCCTGTAACAGCCAATGGCCCTCGCACTTCCGAGTTTACTAATATCGGTCCAAGACTTCAGAGTGCTCAGCTCGATACCCGACAAGGTGGTCTTAGCGGTCAAAGCGGAGTTGAGTCCAATCTCATGTACGTTAAGGGAAAACCAGTGTTCGACAGATGATGCCCAACATGTGGGGGATACAGCGGCTGGTGCGGCGTCGACATTGACACTGATGGTTCGTCCATGCGACCATAATAATTTGACTTCGGTATACCCAGCGACTGTGTTGAACGCAGCAATGGGTGTAACTGTCCCGGTCCAGAAATTCAACAAGGCGATAGCCTCCCCCTTTCGATATATTTTCTTGGTCATAGCGGAAGAAGTGTAGACGGAATAGACCCACTCAGAGCCACTTATGCAATGTTTGGTCGTTATAGGGAATACATTTAATGATGTAGGGTATTGGACAAATGAGTCGATCCCCGAGGTCTCAGGAGCCGCCAGGGTGTTGTAGTTGGAAATGATCTGCTGTTTAGCCTTTAAAGAAGCCATTTCCAGAAGGGTCTGCCGGATCCGAGCTTGGACCTGGGGAAGTTGGTGCAGAATGATTGTGGTTGGGGCGGAGTGTCCCAATAGTTACGACAGGTAGATCTGAGTTCGTGTACGTGAGAATCTGCCTCACCCTATCCAGATTAAGCCATGTGTTTTTATCAATCAGAATGGCTTTGTACTGAGGGCCATCTGGAAAAGAATGCTTGTTCTTGGCTTCGTGGAGTACTCTGCAATCAGCTCTGGGATGTTCGATCAGCGACATTGTTCTAGATCAGGTTCTGTATCTCCAGTGGTCTCACCTAGTAAGTATAACTAGCATCGTTTTACCGAGTATTATCCATGTTGCCGGTACACCTTATTCGATATTCAGAATGGGTAAATCGACCGATGGACTACCTGTTCGCAGAACTTGATGAGTGTGTGCCATAGAGATACAAATGAGCCACTGAGGCTGACGCAGACCCTACTCATCCGCAAATCCATTATTCGAGGAGCCGAGCGGCATGAAAGGCGCAAAATTAGGTCGCACATTCGATGGAGAGTCGCAGTATGGAAAGCCATGGGTGACTGTGTGGCTGACGTCAATTGTATAACCCAACTTCGCTGGTCCCAGAAGCAAGTTCCAGGCAACGCCACATGCCTTGCGCATGTAAGCGCCCTCGGAGAGTCAATAGCAGCTGTGTAAAGCTGTAGGCGCGGTTTCAGATCGAGGTCATCAGTGAATCTTTTCAATCATTGGACACGGTAGTCGATATACAAGTCTGTGGCAGTAAAGTAGAGATCGTGGCCAATTTTTATTGCAAATTCATCATCGCCTGTTCATGTGGTAGCCTCTCTGACAATCTACAATAGATTTGGATTCAAACTGCAACCCCGACGTCTCTTGAATTATTCCAGGAACCCGTGGTTCCAATATTGCGTCGAGTCTAACTCAGGTGAGTCTTCGAAAGCAGATCCACACCCTTAACCTATACACAGTGGAAATGGTTACGCATAGGTTGTGGGTACAAGAAAAATGCAAGAGCTAAGATTTTATTCCTCACCCAGGACATCTGGTCTACATTCTAATTTAGATGCTTATTGGCGATATGGCTCATCAACGTGTCGGACACAGCTTTGGATTTATGCGTCCTCTTTTTTACAGCAAGCATCATGATGATGCACGGGTTAATCTTGTATCTGGAACCACATGCCATTAGGGTCAACATCAGAAACATCTACGTTCGGTTCCATGGCAGAAGGCCCCTCAGTGATGAAGGTCGCGATAATAAACCACCACTCAGCCCCTTCATTGACTAGTATATTGCTCAGAATGTGGAGGAATAATGGCGCGAGCGGCGGAATACACGGAAGCTTTAGGACGCAGAACTAGTGGCTAGTTGTATGCATGTACCCCTCCCTCACTCCAGCTGAGCATAGCTCCACCAATGATCAGATCGCCATGTACGTTGCATAATAGGTCTGACCGCATGAAAACTCGAAACTCTACAAACTGCTTTGAGTACAAATAGGCTGAGTAGACCCTTGTTTCCCTTGCCCCCGACATCTACGCCTCACACTGAGGACGGCCCATAATGCTAACAAATCGCTCTACCATACTGAGTATCATGTACCAAGACCATGGGTGAGAGCCTTGAAGAGTTTTGGTCATACGGGGGTCTACCGTGATCTATGCGGACCGTGCCTCTCTCCAACACAGTTCAGTTTGGCTTCATGTACCTAGAAAAACCAATTGAGGGGCTATCGACTTAGTATTTTGAACACCATCTGCAAAGAGGCCACTAATGCACTCTCGACAGTTGGAGGGGAGACGATTAGCATATTTGCTTGGTGCCACATCATTCTGCACCGTGCATGCCGCGCTAAATCAGGCAGAAACGAGGTCATATGCATGTGTCATTGGTCGGAGCAGTTGTTGGTCTATCATATATTCAAGCAAATCAGACCCTATTTAGTCTATTGGCCTGGCTATTTAATCTGCCTCGTCGCGCAAAGTCAAGTTAGATCCTGTTGCAACCTCCCAATTCCCTAAAGTGAAGCACGGCACATTGAACAAACGAGAAAATGGTGCGTTGCGCACCACAAGTTCGATATCCAGATCTTTTTCTAACCTTACCTGTATGATAGCCTGCCTACTCACGCGAGGAGATCGCTAAATGGAAGGAGGAGTTCCAGAAGCTGGTGAGTGCATGCGATCGATCTGTACAAGCTCTGCTAATGTCAGTAAACATCATAGAACAAGGACTATGATGGTAAGTCCGTTACTCCGTGAACTACTGCCTGCAATATCTGACACATTTCTATCTGCTAGGTTATATCGATCCTTATGAGCTCATTGGTATTGCAAACGAAAAAGGCCTAGGCATGACCGGCGAAGAGGGTGTAGCGTGGGTCAAAAAGCTGGACTTTGACGGCGATGGCAGAGTTTCATTCGGTGGTATGTTACCTCCCACCTGCACGTCCATCCTGCGACAAAGCTCGCTCGTGCTTACTCAATTCAACAGAATTCCTCGCAGCGTTTGGTCAGAAGAACCAGAGCAGCAGCTAGGCACACATTGAGAGGGAGGATCAAGGAACTCGGCATGATATCGAATATCATTTTCGATACTAGGTTTATAGACGAGCCTGTTTATTACCTAGGGTCTAGCGCTCGAGTTACACCACTGTCTCAGGGTACTTGTAGCATCCTCGAATAATTTACTTGCAGTTTCAAGTGTTATAATATTGGTGGGGAGGTGGCCAAGCATCAGCTGTCTACTAATCATCAAGGCGACAACAGTCCCATGCGCTACCTGGTTATCATTTTCGTAGTTTGTGCATCCGATAGTGGTCCTATACACTAATACGTCCAGGATCGAGAGTACACTCCGGAATCCATGTAGTTGTTAGCACAGATTTGATGTTCTTGTATATCTTTGTTATCTGAAGATGACATTAATATATTCACGCCTAATGCCCTACTGTGACAACGCTCTTCCTGGAGGCAACGGAAATGTGAAAGCATTTTATTGGTTGAAGAATGGTGAAATACTAGTTGGTCAATCTGCCACAATGCCACACTCTGTTCGTTGAATGTTATCTGAGTCTTACTCTGAATCTTCCAATTCCTCTGGTTCGGTCGGCTCAGGCTCTGCTCTCAGTCCTTGCTCGATCACAAGCGCCTCGGAAAGACTCATATTCCTACATTCGACAGCACGTCTCAGTATCTCGGTACGCAGGTGGTCATCAAGGGGCGGTTTGGTGCCCTTTGCCGAGTGGGCCATAATACGAAGACCATCGAGAAGAAGGTCCGACGGGCCAATGTGGTCCCAGTCTACCTCCTGGATCTCTTGGCCCTCCTTATTATCCGTAGTTTCTTGGGTGGCCATGAGCTGTCGGGGGCTGCCTCGCCAGTTCGGGTCTATATAACCATTCATGGAGTCGGCACTGCCGATGACCATTTCAATCCATGTCAGAGCCCAGCCGCCATTCTTCGCCCACTCCGTGAAGCCCTCCGGGTCAGTGATGGCCAGCCATGCTACCGAGAATCCCGCCGATAACAGGGGCCCTACGCCCGGCACAAGACCCAACCCTGCGGAGACCACGGTCTCGATGAGGTTGAGCAGAAACGAATTTCGGGGCGGCACCGGCTTCCAGATGACATCCACGGCGAAATTCGCGTTGATGAAATTAATGAAGTCAAAACTCAGATTGGGGCGCACGTGTGGCGTTAAATGCCCCGTCGCGATGTCGCCGATTTCTCGTATGACAATGAGCTTTTCTCGCCAGATATTCGTCACTCGTAGCCTCGGTGTTAGGGCGAGCAGCTTGATGCATTCTTCAACAACCACCTCGTTAGTATTTCATCAGGTCCGGCAGACATCCCTAGATGCACTTACCTTGCACGTTGATTCCTAGACTGTGGCCCCACGCAAAGCCTACTCCGAACTCCGGGGTGAACTCGTGACTAAGAAATCGGTTTATTCTTGGACGCCAAATCTCCCGCGCTGATTGATGGTAGAAGTTAATCTGGACGTAGGTGCAAAGCTGGGGAAAGTCCTGGTCGGCTTGCTGGGACAATGGAAAGTAGATGGCCCGAATGGGCGTGACGAGCTAGGGAGTACGCGGTAGGTTAGGTTCAATACACGTCGCTATTGTCCTTAGCAATGGCTTACATCAATCCATATCCACTGTTCTTGTTCCGTCGGCAGAGGACAGGGATGCACCCGAACCTAGCCAGATCAGCCTCTACTTGCTACTCAACGTTGATTGAATACCGTTCTAGGCGCTCCGAAAACTTACCTTCTGGGCCCCTCCGCGGTCGCGATCCCTGAATTCGGCTGGGTTTCTCTCCAGTGGGATCTGGGCCCAGCGGCGGATATTGTTGTTGCTGCCGTAGCTCACAGGGAGATGGCTCCAAAATCCGAACCAGGTCCTGGGTACCCCGGATGGCCTTTCACGCAGGTACTGAGATCGAGGGCCGCGATGATCGGGCTCTGGAAGACCACGGACCTCTCGTGCCATGGCCTCATTGGTAACCCACTCAATGAGAAAATGAGAATAAAAATGGTTCGCATTATCAGCGTCGAAAAAGCCGAGGTTGTTGCTAAACCGTAGGCTTGATCGCTGGAAGTATACTTCCCCTTCCGGATGTGCTGCTGCCATGGTGGATCGGGACCTTAAGAGACGATGTCAAATCGAAAGAGATGGGCAGCACAGGATGCCACATCGCCAAATTTATAAGAAATTCACAGCTGGAAAAAGGTAAGGGGGAGGGGGGAAGGAAGGGGGGATGAATATCGCCATCAATCTGCAATGTTCAGCTTGAGCAGGCAGGATGTTACCACCGCCATCACATCAGTCAATATATGCAATCGCAAGGATTATGCGGCGGCTTGATTGGTTCTGACCTGCATTTGATCTGAGGCGAGCTGAACCCAAATAATATATCTAAAGGAAGCACTGCAGTTCAGCAGCACCACACCTCAAGTGGGCGTAGTTGTGATTGGGGCCTGGCAATGCACCCGCCGTTGCTTTTCTAGGATGTATCGGCGATGGCGAGCCACAGAGACCCATATCTATGCATCTGAACAGACTGGTGAGGCACCACCATGGTAACGCTTCATAATAAACGAACACTGTATCAGCCCTTAGCCACGTTGAATCATAATCTGCATGGATAGTGGAGGGAGGAGCACCTGGAGAATTTACGCTGCATAGCACGACCACGTAAGTGACGCGACCATCCCCTCCTTTTCCGGGTTGTCGTTCTGACCCATCACGACCAACCGATGTGAAACACGAGCTGTGTCTTACTATAGCTGTTTATACTCTCTTTTTTGTGCGATACCTTTGAGAGAGGTACCTTTGATCTTGTCCTTTCTGGGCGAGAAGGTGAACGGGTTTGGGAAGGAGTTGAGGGTGATTAGGGCTGCTACAAGACGGATTGGCTCACTGGTTTCATGCCAAGCCGTTTTGCCTCCAGCTGTAAGTCTGCTCAAGACACTCGTGAAGGTCCCAATGCATATTACTAACGATTCGTCATCCGGTGGAGCAAAACATAATATCCCAAATCTCGTTGGTTTCTCGCTCGTGACTTTATATAAATTAATTAGCGGCTGAGACCGCGTAACGCACCCACGTTACATCACGTACTCCATGTGGGCAGGGGGAAGCCAAAGATGACTGGAGGAGTGAACTGATAAATAGGCAGAATGATTCCGAGCTCTAGAATCGGTATAGTGGTCAGGGGAAAGCCTCGAGTCGGGTAACTTGCATGACTCGGGCAGCTGGGGAAGAGTAGCGGATCAGCGTCGATCCCGTCTTCAACGGGGGGTACAGAGTAGTGTATTTAGCGTGTACGAGCTGCGCTAGGGTGCCATGATTGCAATCTCATAGGGTCAACATCCTAGGTAGGCGAGATGTGGCTAGATAAAGAATCGGATCAAACCTGGGCGGCAATTCGCGCTAATTGCAGTCTGCCTCTTTCTGCCTTGCCTTGTTTCGGAGGCATGGGTCAGTGCAGCTTGGTGGAATGGCCTCGTCCCGTAGTAATTCAGCTCATTGGACTAATTCTTAGTACTAGAGGTTCAACATTGTACTTTCATTGTTCCATATACCACCATGGCACGCCATGACGTTGACAGCCAGTCGCATGTTACCCCATCCCGAAAGTGGCGCCAGGGCTTGGGGCTCTTTTTGTACTAAGAAACCAACCACATCTACTCAGCGCGAATGTGAATGGACGGTATAGACGAACAGTGTGTCCTCCCCTCGTCAATGTCAGACTGTTACCTTGAGTGTAGTTGCCGTATTTTTTATTGTGTAAGGGGCATTGCTCTCTTTCACTCTATTCAGTCTATACTAATATATATATGTCGCGTAATGCCGCATCTTTACTAGGTAGTATCAGTACCTCAGCAGCAATGCCAACGTCCAAGCTTTTTGCGCAATGCCCACCTTTCCCTTCGGATCTGTCCGTAGTTCCCCTAACGAGAGTTTCTCTCTCAGCACTGGAGCGCAATTGTCCAGCAGAGGCACAGAAGCTCCTTTCAGCATGTCAAGAGTGGGGTTTCTTTCTGCTGGACATGAGAGATTCGGACCAAGGAACTGCAATGATGCAGGACGCAGAAGAAATGTTTGATCTCACAGTCGACCTGTCAGAGATGGACTACGAAACCCTGAACAAATATCACCACGAACCACCCGATTTTACACGGTATGTGCTGCTTCTGCTATCTTCTGTCGCACCTTGCTAACGAGCCAATCAGGTATAAATCCCTTGGCACCACGAAGACAGAGCCCGGAAAATTCGACCACATCCACGTCTATTCGCTTGCCCAGGATGATGTGCTAGGGAATGCTTCCTTGGAGACCCAGCTCCCGCACCCAGAGACCATCACTCGCAAGAAGGCCCAGACCAGGGACTTTATATCCCGCAGCCACGCCGTGTTGCATCGTGTTCTCGGCAGCCTAGATACCGCACTCGGCATTACCCCCGGAACCCTGTCAGCGATGTGTCCGTCGACTGAACCCTCTGGCACCCTCGTCCGTCTCATCTGGACCCCTCCCAGCACCGAGGAGCCCAATTACGGTCAAATCTCCTTTGGCGGTCACACCGACATGGGCATCATGACGCTACTCTTCAATGTCGCGGGGGGGCTCCAAGTCCTCCCCCCGGGCGCGGCCAATGTGCACGAGAACTGGCAGTTGATCCGCCCGGAGCCTGGCTGTGCAGTCGTCAATGTCGCGGATACCCTCGAGCAGTGGACTGGGGGACTCCTGCGCAGCTCCCTTCATCGCGTCGTGACGGCCCCTGGGGCCCAGGCGATGGTCCCGCGGAGAAGTGTGGCGTATTTGCTGCGGCCGAGACAGGATGCGTCGTTGGCACGCTTTGTGGGAGGGATTGTACCGCCGTTGAAACCTGGGGAGCAGAATGAGACAAGGTCGGTGGATGAATGGAATGAGTGGAGGTCGAGGCAGATTATGAAGGGGCAGTTGAAGAATGAGCATAAGAGTCAAGGGGAGAATTGAGATCGCAGGTGGGTGAAGGATCCGCGACTTTAGCGACACAGGGGCGGGCATAGGTGGCTGCTAAGGAAATAGAAACATCGTATATAGGCTGGCACATAGAATTTGCGACGCATACTATTTCATCTACAATTGAGGGTTTAGCCACCGTCACTATGTAACGAGTCACATTTGCAGCACACTGATAACCCCGACGGCAAGTTTACAACTTCTGCATCTTAGAAGCCGGAGGAATCAGGACCGCTGTCTGATGACTGATCGCAATCAAATCCATCTTCTCGTCAAACAACAAAACCTCCATATCCATCCGTCCATTCAGAATGCGCTTGCATTCGTTTCGCAGGTAAAGCCAGCGAACGCCCTCCGGAGGCAGCCGTTGCTTGATCTCCGTGGACAACATCAACGAGACATTGACCATTCTGGCCTTGAGCCTCTTTGAGCCGTCATCCTCCAGCGCTCTCCAATCTTCTCGGCCTTCCCGGCGCGCGTTCTGCTGCTGTTCGGCAAACTCGAGTGTGGCCGCTATGCTTCCTGTCGATGGCTTGCCTTCTATGGGCGGGAAAAGATTTTCTTGGATTGGAAGCGGCATATCCACGATGAATTGAATCATCTCATTGGTCCAGCGCGCATAGGTATCGGTTCCTGCCCCTTTCCGGACCAGAGAGCCCTGTGGGTGGCAATCCCAGCCCGGTTCAATCCATTGCTCGATGAAAGTGGCTTCGCCCCGTGGGGTCCTTGGGATGAAGGCCTTGGCGTAGGAATGGCCCCGTCGAAACCCATCGGGGTAGAAGGCGCAGTGGTAGGAGATCCAGTCGGGATGGCTGTCGGTCGCGAGTTTCGTCAGGTCTATGGGTTTGGGCTCCGGTGAGGGACGCCAGCCTGTTTGAAGCGTTACGCCTTCGATTGAAAAATTGGTGATTCTGACAGCCCCACCATTCTTGTCAGTGCTTTGTCTTCATTCCATTTCTTGCCAACATATGCAGGCGTCTACGCACACCAGATCCGCCGAAGTCGTCAACTTCTCACCCTGGAATGACTCGACACGCAAGGTGGACCATCCCTTGCCAACACTGACCTCCCGCAAAGTCATTGTCATCGGCTTGGTAGGGAACACGGGCCGATAGAACTGCACCACCGCTGAGCGAAGATCCACCTGATGCTGCATCTTCGGATGGTGGCGGGCATAGTGGAGGGCATATTTGGCCATTGCACAGGCGATATAGCCTCCGATCGTCACTGTCACCGAGCCCGACGAGTCAGTTCACTCTCAAAAACAAAAGTCCTGGAGGAGGCAGGATGTCTGAATACCATTGCCGATGCCAATGTCCGAGGGGAGCTGCAGCGTGGTTGAGGGGCCGGTGGACAGCGGAAAGTCCAAGGCTTGGGACAGACTCGTGGGAGGAGGCGGAGCCATGATGGACATCCAAGTAGAGGTTTTGTTCTGAATTGTAACACAACAAATACTTCGCAGGTCCTGAATATATCCGAGCGAGGAAACAGAAACAGAAAAAGGAAAAGAAAAGAAAAGAAAAGGAAAAGGTAATGGAAAAATGGGGTCGGAGTGGAAAGACCGAAGGAATGAAGCAACAAAGAAACATCCCTGCCAGACCCTGGTCTAGCGTACGACGCCTCCGCTTTTCCTCGTTTCTTTGTATTGCCGTTGCTCAACACAAAGTTGTTGTTTGTTTTTGTCCGCGTTGGCAAGGTCCACCTCCCGCCATCGACTCCGTCAACAATGAGACGTTTATTCGGCAATCAACAGTCATTGCACATATGGAAGATGGTTGAAGTAGTCGTATTTTTAGACTTATTCAGGCCGCATGATTACTCCAGCGACGGAGAATCCTGCGGAGGGGATCGCATCGTGGTATATCCACATAGTCACTGCGACGATGTTTGATGCGGTCGAAGCTGATGTAGGCGAGAGTTGGAGAAATGGAATCTCCCTGGAGAGATTATCTGTGGGAAGCTGTACGGCGTGGCAGCCATGGTAGTATAGTGATAGACATTTCGATCTATACTCTTATCAGAAGTCATCAACGTAGGGGAATAGGGACTATATCTCACGGCAAAGGAACGTTGCTGAAGAATTCAAGGATTGTCTCGAGGGCCAACTTCGTGACCACCTGGGATGTGGGTCGACACAGCCGAGTTGCTGCAAGAGTCGCGTCTTTGAATTTCACATCCACCGCCCTGTTTTGTGCAGTATCACCAGGCATGTGGCGCCATACATTGCCGGGGTCGCGGCGGGGCTTGGGCTTCGGTGAGGCTGTGCATCGCGATTCTCCGCAACTGTCTTCTGCTTCCAGCGGACGGAAGTAACCCTGTAACAATCGCAGGTGGTCCACAACCAGGCTATTGGTCGGACATACAGGCGTGTCCTGGAATGGGCCCGAAGAATAGCCCGAATAGACAATGTTCCAGGTGGCTGTATTTGCGGCTCTGGAAGTTCCTCTTGCACTTTACGTTGAGACCCCAGAGCGGATAATTCCAGGGCGAACATGATTTAAACAAAGGAGAGTACATCCACACAAGTATCTCACGAGGATAGGAGCCGTTATTCGCGTGTCCACCGTTGCTGTTGTTGACGCCGTTGACGCGTTGCCCTCGTTTCAAGTCTCGTGATGAGGTGGCCCCAGGCACCAACCAGAAGTCACTTTGCGATGCATTTCATCCTCCAGCGTCCGGTGTGGCAATGCATCCCCTCACTGCGCCTCTGATGTCTTCTATTGACCATGTTTGCCTATTCGTGACCAATCATGATAAGAGGGGATATTCAATCAATCGTGGATACTGGATGGGTTGATTCGTGGAGGATACACTCAGGTACATGAACTGAAGGTTATCTACAGCTTTGTCTTTCCCTTTCCACGCCCAGCCTCTCCCTTAAATCCAAACAAATACGCTGCGACCTTGCGGATCTGGATTTCCTCTGCACCTTCCGTGATACGATAGCGGCGGAAATGTCGATAGATGTGTTCGAAGGGATAGTGGCGCGAGTACCCATCACCACCATGAATCTATCAAGTCAGCCTCACCAAGAATCAAGCAAGAAACCAAAGAAGGGGAAGCAATACCTGAATCGCTTGATCGGCGGCCTGGCAGCACAACCGATTCGCCCAGAAATTACACATGGCCACTTTATCACTCAACTGCCTCTCGATCGCAATCCACGCCTGATCCGTTGACTCAGCCACTACGCGATCCATGTCCCAACTCGTCTTCAGAATCAACAACCGCAACATCTCCACCTGTGTCATGAGCTCGACAACCGGAAACTGCACCGCCTGGTGATCTGCCAACTTCTTTCCCTCCCCCCAGATGGTCCGACTGCGTGCGCGCTCAATGGCACGTTCGAGACAAAACTTGGCCGCTCCGCACGAGCTCGCCGCCTGTCGGATGCGGTTCTCATGCACAAAGGTCTGCGCAATCGCCAACCCTTGGTCGACGACCCCGAGAACCGCCGACTCGGGCACCCAGACCTCGTTCAAAGTCACCGTCGCGTGGTCTGTGGGCATATTAAACGTCCACTCATAGCTCGCAATCTCCACCCCTTCTGTCTCCCGGGGAACCAGGAATGCCGTGATGCCCTTCGCCGATCCATCCCGGCCAGATGTCCTCGCGAAGATGATCATATGGGTGCAGTGATGCGCGCCCGTCTGCCACTTCTTTGCGCCATTGATTTTGAACCCGCCTGGAACACGCGTCGCCGTCGTCGACATGAAGGTCGCGTCGCTGCCGTGGTCGGGCTCGGTGAGGCCGAAGGTGGTGCGGAATTCTCCGCGAAGTCGCGCGGGGATGAGGGTACGTTTTTGCTCTGCGGTGCCGAAGTGGTGAAGCATGAGGACATCCGGGAAATTTCCAATGATGCTGTGTTCGTTCTGCAGGTCATTGGCGAGCCCTAGACCCCCGCCGTACGTGGGGTGTGAGGCCATGTGGAAGCGCGTAGCGGACATCCATAGGTTGGTATCGGGGTGGCCTTGTCCACCGTAGATTTTGGGGAGAGCAAAGCGGAAGAATCCGGCTTCGTCCGCGAGATGGCGGGCTTTGCCTGGTGTTTTGTTAGCATCGTACTCTTGTTGAAGGTGACCGAGCTGAAGACGGGCATTGGTAGGGCTGGGAAGGGATGGATGTACCTAGTAAATCCTCCCACTCTTGGGATGGAAGGCCACCCTGAGCCCAATCCGTCCGGGCATACTCGCGCCGATGATCAAAAAACGGTTGTTGTCTCCGGAGTGTTGGAGAGGAAGGATGGTCGAGTTGATGAACTTGTCAAGGGAGTCAAGGTGGGCGACTAAGGGGGCAGGCAGGTCAAAATTCATGGCTGTCCAAGGGATAGTTTTTATCACGTTTCCTATCTATATTGTGTTAAGGCGTACGGAAGTTTCGTAACCATAATAGTTCGTTATAGCTGGGCTTGATGGATATCCACATCTACCCCAGATTCCGCTCCGCACGGTGTGGTTCAACCCCGCAGCCCTACCTCGGTCCCTCATCGGCCGCTCGGCTTCTCTGCTTGAATTGGGCCAAGTCTGTTAACTTTCTAATACAAGTATGAATGACTTGGTGACAAAACTAGGGTCCATCCAGCGTGTTTGGATACGATGGTCGGTTCGAAGTCGTCTTCGTTTATGGCTGCTGTGTTGGATGTGTCTATCGGGGATTCGAGTAAATCCTTGAACTATTGGGCCGCTAGCTACGCGGAAGCATGCTTGTATATAGAACAAACCACTCTCGCTTTATTAGAAGTCTAGAAAGCTTGAGCAGTGGTATTTACAGCTTCTTCTCTCGGATGTAACTCTCGCGCAGCTTACTGACCGTTTCCCACATTATCTGCGCTCTTGATTCAAGGCTGTCCGCCCATTCTTTCGCGCCCGGGCTCTTGGATTGGCCTGTCACGTATCGTGCTGTTATCCCTTGTGCGATGACACAACCTCGAAAGTGAGCGAATGCAATACCCCAGTCGAGGTCCGACCTCGCCTCGTATCCTGATTCGTGATACCACCTCAAACACTCCTCTAGACTAGGAAGGCCTGGGATACAATTCCTAGCCTGGTCACGGAGTACCGGTGCACCTGGTCCAGACTCTTGGAAAATCGGGGACAGAAGGTTAACAATATCCGATAAAGGGTGCCCGATGGTTGCCATCTCCCAGTCTAACACCCCGATTACCTTTGGCTCTGTTTTGTGAAAGACGATATTATCGATCTTGAAGTCCCCGTGGACGATGGTGGAGCGATCTTTAGGCTGATTCGTCTTGAAAAAGCCCGCAATTTCCTCCAGGTGTGGAAGGTCACCAATGGGTAGATTCGTTTTGACATTCACTGCCCTTGACTGGCTTTTGGCTATTGCTGTAAAAGTTCGAATCTGGCGATCATAGAAGTTATTATTCTTACCCAACCCCCCTAAGCCGACCGCATTATAGTCGAGGGTATGCAGCTTGACCAGAGTTCTCACTGCATCCCGCCACCTATTTCCGGTCAGCCTGTGGCACAAGGTCATATGAATATTGGAGCTTTACATCTCCTGGCGTTGTTCAGCGGTCACTCCGGGCATGTACGGATCTGTAATAAATCGGCCGTCCAAGAACTCCATAATGTAGAACGCGGTGCCGATTACCGTCGGATCTTCGCATAAAAGATAGACTTTGGGCACTGGAACCTCGGTCTTCTCAAGGGCGTGCAGGATCCGATATTCGCGGTCTACCTGGTGGGCCGTTTTGGAAATGATCTCGCCTGGTGGCTTTTTTCGAAGCACATATCGTCGGGATTTCGCATCTGTGAGTAGGTACGTTGGATTGGACTGGCCAAATCCAAACTAAAGCCCACAAAAACGACAAAAAAGAATATTTAACTCCTGTTCATCCTCTGTGACGGCGGTATAGCATAGTCCGGGGGTAAATTAGGTACCTGCTTCAGATCCAGCGGTGGCGTTATTTCCAGGTTGTGTTGCCCAATATAGTTTTCTAGGGCACCCAGGTCAATGAGCTGCCTGACGGGACCGGCCATCATGCCCTTCTCGATGCTTATTACTCGCTGCCTCTAGATCCCCGATGCTCTGCTGTGCGTATATAAACTTATATTAACCCCGCTTGGCGCCCTCGGCTAGCAGGAATTACCCCGCATTGGTGCTAATCCCCTCGGGCGTGGAGATACCGGCCGTGGTTGACCTTCCCGCACGGCCTCGGATGGAACCCTGGGTCAGGGTGTCACTTAGCCCCCCAAAGCTTCATGAATAGCAACGACTTAGTAACTAAGGAGTTCTCTTGCACAGGAAGATCCCAGCAAAGGAGCATCGCTGCAGTCAAGATATACACATTATATTTGGACGCTAAACCTAACTACACTATTTTGAGTACTTAGGTTTCCTAAAGGCAAACTATCGATGATGTTATTTACGGGTCACAGTGACAGAGATCTCGGTGGCATCCTTGACACTGTCCGATGTAAACAACGCCAAGGTACGCTTGTCAACTTCGTGCTGGACCAAGCTACCCTCGGGCGAGACCTGGACGCTATATCCATTGGGGAACGTGGATGGGGGCAGGATGACCTCGGTGGGCGCGTCGATGGCGGGATCAGATGTGAACTTCAGCTCCAAGGTGGCTGAACTCTCAGAGAAGCTGAAGCTCTTTGGGGTGCCCGCGACAGCCGCCGGGTATGCACGGCTGTAGTGCGTGGCTAGCTCAGGGTATGCCTGACCAGACGTGCCATTGTACAGGTTTTCGTACGCCCAGCCGATCCAGGAAACCATCTTTTCGTCGGTCGCGGACATGGCGTCCGCAAGGTCCTGCATTTGCTTATCGTCGCCCATCCAGAACGTGAGCTCGGTCAACACACCGGTCGTCCGAAGGCGCTCGTTGTCCTTGCGACGGTTGTCGAGCGTGTTGGAGATCGAGCCCATCTGCGGCGGGCTGTAGTAGTGGAACGAGTGCACCGACTTGGATCCGTCCCCGAGAGGGACGTCGTTGAAACCGGACAAGACGTCGAGGGTGGCGCCTTCGAACCAGATGAGCGTGTCATTGTCGACCGTACGGATCTGCTTGGTTGCTCGGTTCCAGAGCCCTTCCATGACCTTGTGGTCGGCAACGCCAGGCACCAGCAGTGTCGGATCGGCCCAGGTGTCGCCCACCCACGGCTCATTGAGCAGGTTATATCCGACGATATTGGTCGTCTGCACATACTCGGACGCCAGCTTCTTCCAGTACGCCGCGAACGCATCGCCCAGCCCGTCGTAATTGTTGTACAACCGCCCAAATGCATTGCCTATCGCGACCGACGTGTAGCTCAAAGCCCAATCCACAGTGCCGCACAGCGACTCCGGTGTGGGGAAGCCACGGTCATCCACAGGGAACGGCGTTGTCTTGAGGGGATACGGATACATCTTCCCGCTCGAGACCCAGTCCTTCTGCACAAACCACTACCAAGCCATGTCAGCATCAACCGAGCGAATTTGCTCCCTACGGTTACTTACGTCCGGTGCACCGTTGCCACAAAGTTGCCGCGCCAGGCAGTCCTGATGCACATCCACCAAGACATAAAGACCATGGTCCTCAGCCATCTTGGTCTGCTGCTTCATGATATCCAGGAAGGTCTGGTTGTACTCGCCACGCACAGGCTCTGCACCAGCCCAGCTGTGGCCCAACCGCACAATGTTCAGACCCAGATCATGCAGGTTTTGGACATCTTGCTCGCCGAAGGAGGAGACGCCAGGCACCCACTCCAAGGGCCGATGCCATGGGGGCTCCTTCATCACTACATTGGTTCCGTGGAAGAACCGCGTACGGCCGAATTCGTCAACAATTTGATGCGTGTCTTGATTGACCTGCTTGATACGCGACATGCCTGGATGAGCCTTGTACCAGCCCTCGGCATCCTGAGCCAACACACCCGCCGAAGGTGTGCCGACCACCGCGAACAGCGATACAAGAGAATTGCGAGAAAACAGCATTCCAATTGAAGGATTGAGTCAATCCCGAGGGGTTATCAAAGAAAAGAAGAACGAGGTGGAGAGGGAGTGTCGATCCGGATCAAGGGTCTACAGAGAGGTTATATATCAATGGCCAGTTCTCCTTTTTGCATAACGTAAAGCAGGGTTACATTCCTCGTCAATCGCCTGAAGAATTAGACGGCGACCTGACCCACCAAACCCCCCCACCCGCAACTAGTATTGGGCCGTGGAGACACGTCGCTGGGTTTAATGAGAAAAGCGGGTCCAGTTCGCCTATAACGACGACAAGCCGCTTGATGGCGGCGGGAAGGTAACATGAATAACAGCCAAGGTGGGTCACTAGCACTGTCACTCCGCACCCTAAAGGCATGCCACACTTGCAGAAGGATGTACACAGCGTCTACAAGCCTCGCGTAAGAAGCGAGAGCATCGGGGACTATTCGGGGTTGTATCCAGCTCTCTGTCACCTGCCTTTACTGTTCAGAAGGAATCCGGTAGCGTGAGTTGATATATTACCAATCTACCCCAGATGCGGTTTCTAGCGTCCGTCGCAGTGTGATTGGTTTTATCTCAGATCCCCGCATTGTTCTAGGAAGGCTATTAATTATAAGCGATGAACTGCTTCAATCCTCCTTATAACAAACGGGTCACATGTGCTGTGTAGGGCGTAGGTAGTCTGGTGGATCTTATTTGTCGGTCGTGCCACTTTTGATGCCATTATACGCCTGTTAGATGAACGCAAGTTCGTAATGCTTATCATTGGGCCTTGCCACCTTGGCGAGGTCGGTACAGCAGATGGAGTGTTCCTTCCCCTTTTCCTAGGTTGGGAAAGGTCCAAAAAGTCGTAGCTACAGACGGCAGGAAAAAGGGGTCGCAACGACCGCTAGCGCCTAGTGTCCGATCAGAATACCTCGGCCATTACTCAGCCATGAGTTGCAGCGCTCATCGCGCCATGTTCGCATATCCGGGAGGCCCCACTTGTCCCTGTACGCTGATTTTGATTCCAAAACAGATAACTCCATCGTCGTGTGTGCGCCGGGCAGATAGGTGGGCCGAACCGTGCAGAATCAATTCTAATTCTAGAGCCCACAGTAAAACAGAGTCACAAATGATCCCAAATGTTAGAATACCCAGTATATGATCTCGCAAATATCCCTCCATCCGACTAGGCTGCAGGGGTGGCAACACAATCCTAGTCGCTAGCCACAATAGGGTTTCCCATAGATTAGCACTAGAATCGGAGGAATTATCAGTCCGATCCTTCGGCTATCCACATGTGATGCTATCCGCAAATCTGTCCGGGGATAGCGACAATCGATCGTGAACCAAACTCTGGAGAAGATGTTTCCCCGCGTGTGTAACCAGGCGCTGTGCTCTATGCCCTTTTATACAATCATGACCCTGACTGCAACATGTTTGTTTGCTTTCCACAACTCTGGGTTGGAATAACTCGCAGAAGGTAGCTTGAGCTTTTTGGTCTATTACAGAATGCCGTCCAAACGCGAATATGACTTGATTTTGTTAGGTGCAACTGGCTACACGGGTATACTCACGGCGCGGTATATTTTTAAGTCGCTACCACCTGACCTGAAGTGGGCTATCGCCGGAAGAAACAAGGAAAAGCTCGAGCTGCTTGCTCAGTCTCTAGTGCCTGAAAGCTCATCTAGGCAGCTACCCGGTTCGTGAACGGCCGGTTCCCATCTGCTTTTTCAACAGCTGAATTCCGAGTAGATACCGTCGTTGTGCAGCTGAACCAGAACGAGCTTAACGACTTGGCAAAAAGGACACGGCTAATTATATCGACCGTGGGACCATTCGCGCTTTTCGGCTCGGACACCTTCGCTGCCTGTGCTCGAAATGGCACGCATTACTTGGACTGGTCAGTCTTCAGAGTCCTCAAATACATGACAGAAGCTGACAATCAATGTATAGCACTGGAGAGGTGCCCTGGTTGAAAGACATGATTCGGCAGCACGATACCATCGCAAGAGAGAACGGAAGCATTGTAAATCCCTTTGGGCATGAAGACCGCACTGAGATATTTGTAGCTGACTGCACCCAGATGATTCCATGTTGTGGCTTCGACTGTGTGCCATCCGATCTTTCCACCTGGCTGCGGCCAACTATATCCGTCGCCATTTCGGCACGAAGACTGGCCGTGTTGATGTCTGCATCCACAGTGTCCAGGGTGGAATCAGTGGCGGGACATTGGCTTCCGTTCTGCAAGCGTTTGAGCTGAATTCCCCGGGCCATCTCTACAAGGCCCATGCCCCCTATGCCTTATCCCCGAGGCGGCCCTCGCCGACCGTGCCCATAAAACGAACTAGTATCTGGACCAAGGTTTTCGGACTACTCCGGATCAAACAACTCGGCTGGATGGCATATCAGCCACAAGGACCGGTTGATCGAGCTATTGTCCATAGGTCCTGGGGCTTACTAGAGCCGACTGCTGTTGCTTATGGCCACAACTTTGATTTCCATGCTTGGTTTAAGATATGGGGACCCGTGGTGGCGATCCTGTGGCATTTTGGGGGGTTAATCTTGGCGCCGTTGATCCTCCTACGGCCTATTCGAAAGCTGCTGCCCAAGCTCTGGTATGAACCGGGTAGTGGTGCAGGCCAGGGTAAAATTGAGAACAATTGGTTCGAGTATCGATGTGTCGCCGAGGCAGACACCGCCACTAAGCTGAAGCCAAAAGCCTTGGTTCGGATGCGCTACGAGAGTGATCCGTACATATTCACAGCTGCGGCCTTGGGAGAAGCAGCTCGAATTCTTCTTTGGCAGAAGGATACATGGGCACACAAGCTTGGTGGTGGAGTGTTGACACCCGCCACCCTGGGAGATCACTATGTATCTCAACTACGGGCTGCTGGGGTGACCATGGACGTTCAAAGCGACGATCCAGCATTGAGGGGGAAAGACCCTTTCACCACGCTTTGAAATTGCTGTTGAGGAGATTTGTGCGTTACACGCACTCGGGAGAGCTTTCCAGTAAAGCTTCGATGACTTCATTATATTAGATGTTCGTTCTCATAGCTATATTTTCGCTAGTATCTAAAGCGAAACGAGCCCTAGTTATTCTAATCCTCCATGTACATCTCCGCCAATTGCGAAACTCAAGACAGGGATTAGGTTCTCGCTTTGCTTGAACTGGTAGACTGGGCAATATGATCCTATAAACGGTACCAATTCCACCGAAAGCATAATCAAGGTTGATAGCGAAACGGTATATAGTAATACTGTTGAAAACACTGCTCGAAGGACTTCTTCACTACAGCATATCCGCCAGAGATTCAGCCACCTGTTGTGTTCCAGAAAGATGTGACAGACCCTGGAAACCCCCTGTTCACTAACTTGAACATCTGCTGTGGCCAGAGGCAGAGCAGCATGACGATCGCCGAGTGCAATGGGGCCGTCCTGTGCTAGCCGACCAGCTCCCTTTGCTTGATGCAGGTATCATTTCGCATGGCAACCGTGTCAAACCCGTGCTGCTAAGAATATCTTGTCAGATCAGTTAATACAAGGAACCGCCACCAAGGGCCTTTTCTCACCAATGGAGAAGGCTACATGAGACTTGGCACACATCATTGCGCCTAATTCTAGACAAATCTCCATACTTTAGCAGTTGTATGGGTCACCTAACCGTATGGTATAGCGTTTGGCCGAGCTCGTTCCAGTGAGGGTGTGAGGTCGTCACGGCACCACAGGGAAAGACCACCCTAGATGATTGGCACAAACGTATCGTTATTCCGAGGCTGACTGCAAAGTCGAGTAGTTTCATTCTCTCTGGAGTGACACGATGTTTCAACCATCTTAATTGTCGTGACCGTTGTATACAAGGTATCGTAGAAGGATGTGTGGAGCGCGAGAGTGGATCTTCCGACAGCTCTTACACCGGTGACTGTAGGTGAAGTAAAGAATCTTCAATCTATCTAACCGCAGAATTATCCTTGCTCTCGAACGATATGCCTACATATGTAATTAAGTTTCGCATCATCGTGTACCAAAGTTATGGGTTCCATGGAATATAGATAACTTTTGCCCACTTGGGTCCTTGTGGTCTTGGCTTCGTATTCGACGCTTCACACGAATATGTTCCACAGCTCTCGTGCCAATGAATTATATTGTCCTCAAAGAGTCAATTAAATCTATGACGTTAGTTACAAATTACCCTACATCTTTACATCATGCAACCCTGAAGGGGTCAAATGCTCTTTCGCCTTCATGGTAAAATACGCCAATGTAGAACGGTCAGGATACAAAAGCAAGGGTGGCAACAAAATAGAAATACCTTGAGCGGGCCCACATATAGATGTCTGTACCTTGGGAAGAGGTGATATCTCCATAGAATGTATATCAAAACGATAGTTATTCGCGTTTCCCTGTCAGTTCTGTGGTACATCTCCACCCAGGTTGGTTGTGGGGAAACGCCAAATGACAAAGTTTATCATGTCTATCGGGTTATAGATATAGTATCTATTTTAATGCCATATAGTAGTATACCAGCATCCAGGGTAGTATCGTATTGGGAAAGTGTACTTCTGTGTGAACGGCGGTCTGGACCATACATGTTGAGCTACCCTAACTATGTAGTGGTGTGACAACGCCTTCTATACACCTTTCATTGGCCTTGATTCAGGCGGCTCTTGAATTAGCTAACGGCGTACCACAAACATTTGGTCGTCTCCAGGTCTATATGATTTTGCCTCTCCATCACGTACATTTGGGACCATACCACGATGCCTCCTCTGGCCATCAATAGCCATCAGTATCGCATAAATACCTCCACGTTTCCCCTCTACGATGGTTCTCGACGCGTCCTTCCAACCCATCCATTAATCATTTTTCCTTCGACTTCATTGAATAACACCATGTTACTATTTACCCTTCTCACCTATACCGGCCTCGCAACTGCCATGACCTGTACCATTATCGGTCCAGGCTCTGGCAATTGTCGTTCCTGTCCAGCTGATGACTGCGATATCAAGCGGAAATTCAACACTGGAAGCAAACAGGACTTTAAATGTGTCTGGCCAGATGGTGGACCTGTTTCGGGCAGAAAGTAAGCTTATCCTTTGGAAATACTATTAACCTCATGCTAAGGTGTTCTTCAAGACGCTGGGGCTATAACCAGGCTCATGACTGCTTTGTATCAGAAGTAAGGCTTGGAAAGTGCAACATAAGTATGTCGACAGCATATCTCGAGGTACCGCAGGAATGCACAAGACTCACATCTTATAGACTCCGTGACGGATTGTGTTGTGGGCTTCGCTCAGGGTTTTGCGCCGCCTCCCTAGCCTTCACCTCTAACCAGGACAATCTCCTTTTGGAATTTTTGTGCACGCTTGCAGGACTCTCATTCTTTGTTTTTCATTCTTCTTTTTCTTTCTTTTGTGATTCTCAAGGCAGGAGTTCTTCGGGAAATTGACAATTTCACTACGCGTGCATTTTACTCAAAAGGACTGACATGTTCTCCATAAATAGTACTATACTTATGATGCCAGCCGACGAAACTATTTGTATGTTGCACACAGTGCATAATGTTATTTCCAATCTATTTTGCAAACCACCACTACTGCCTTAAGTGACTCGACCATGATTTAGCATATTTCATGTGTCTGGGTGTTGAGTAAGCTTATTCAACAGCTATTGTAGGGGTTATTCTTTGGACTCAGTTGTAGTCTTGGTGCTTAAGATGTGCAATAGAGCTATGTATCAACACAAGGCCATTTTCTACAATAGCAGGCGACATCTCCTTGGCACAAACCAGTGAGCTATGAACCATAAGTCACACCCAGTACTACCCAGATTATACCAATAGAAGCGATGTAAACAAGCTTGGCGCCGTTGAAAGAATAAAATCCCCGGGGCTATCAGCAACGTTGTAGACCTAAGTCCAATCCCTGGGAGCAAATGATGGGTTTGTCCACCACTATTTCAATCTTCTGGCTTCAATGACTTCGTCTGGTTCTTGAAATTGTAGGAATAAGGTACTTGTGAAGCGCCGGGCCAAGGGGATCGGACTGTTTAAACGTCCGAAGGCGTCCTCCACATGTGCAAAACTTTTGCCTCGGCTGTGGAACTAAAGCCCTGCGTTGTGTGCAATAACGCTCTAATTTACGTACATTTGCTCTTCCCAAGAAATTCGAATAATGCCATTTACAGAGGTATTCTTTCAAGCATGAAGTGTCAAGACATGCAGCAGAATGAACAACCAGGCTCGGCAACCTCGGCACCAACAGTCGAGACTCTCACTGTCGAATCCATCCCTCCAGATACAGAGCCCAATTACCCAACAGGCACCAAATTTTGGTTCACCATCATAGCACTGTGTGTCATCCTGATCCTCGGTGGCCTGGATGCCAACATCGTCGCTACAGCTGTACCGAGTATCACGAACCACTTCCACACTCTCGCCCACGTAGGATGGTACTCATCTGCATTCCGACTCTGTACCTGTGCATTCCAGTTTGGGTTCGCGAAGCTATATAAGCTCTTCTCGATTAAGATCATCTTTTTAATAAGTAATGTCATCTTTCTTGTGGGCTCGGTACTCTGTGCCACGGCTGCTTCGTCGACGATGTTTATTGTAGGAAGAGCAGTAACAGGTGTAGGATTCGCCGGTGAGCTGGCTGGCTGTTTTGCCGTCCTTGTGCACATTGTTCCCCTTAACAGACGGCCAGTGTTTGCGGGGTTAATGGCGTGTGTGGAATCGCTTGCCATCATTGCGGCGCCTATATTAGGGGGTGCACTGACTCAATCTCTGGGGTGGAGATGGTGTTTCTGGTATACCCTGCTCCTTGTAGTCACGGCCAAACTGGGGCTTTGCTGGACGCTGACTTCTGCATAGGATCAACCTTCCTATCGGTACGGTATCGCTAGTGAGCATGCTGTTTCTGTTCTCGGACCCAAGAACTCTCCAGGAGGACGACCTCACGATGACTCAAAAGATTAGAGAGCTCGACCTCGTCAGTAATTGCTTATTCATCCCTTCCCTAACAGCCCTGTTTATCGCGCTATCTTGGGCGGGGACCAAGTATCCCTGGTCTGATGGGAAGGTGATTGGGTTATTCGTTGTATTCGGTGTGCTACTCGTTGTCTTTCTTATCAATCAATACCGACGCGGGGATTCTGCAGCTCTCCCCTTCCGTATCATTAAAAGCCGAAGTGTCATCGCTGGCTTTATCTTCACAACGTGCACTAATTCCATGACCAACGTCTTGGAGTGGTACTTGCCAACGTACTATCAAATCGTTCGAAGCCGGGTGAGCTTCCGCCGCAGCTAGTTCGCCCCATACACTTACTGACAATACTATATGTTGGCAGACTCCAAGCGAGAGCGGCTACTTGATGATCCCCATCCTTGTCGGAATGATGCTCGGGCTCTTTTTGCAGGGTATTGGCACTACGACATTCGGCTACTACGCCCCGTTTATGATATTCGGCTCCATTTGCATGCCCATTGCCGCAGGCTTGATGACAACGTACAACCCCCACACATCCCTAGCCCAGATGATCCTGTATTCAGGATTGGCCGGTTTCGGCGGAGGTATCGGGTTTCAGGGCTCTCAGGCAGCCGTCCAGACAACGTTAAGTGCCGCAGATGTCAATCTTGGGATCGGGGTCATCTTGTTCGGGCAGAGTATGGGTCCGGCGGTGTTTATAGCTATTGCGCAGGTGATGTTCACCAATCAGTTGTCGTCAATTTTGGAAGGTGTCGTACCCGGATTGACACCTGCCTATATTGCAGAGCGTGGACTTGGCGATATTAAGAACCTCGTTCCCATACAGCGGTGGGACGAAGTCTTGCGCGGTGTCGATCAGAGTTTGACTCATACGTGGTATCTTTGTGTCGCGCTGGGCTGCACGACCATCGTGGGAAGTCTCTTGATGGAATGGCGCTCAGTTAAGCAGAAGCAATCGTGAACGTGGTAGTAATGATTGGATATTGGACTTTGTGGATAGCTCTGCTAACCCAAAACCAATGGCAACGACATGGGCCATGTCTTACTCCTGAAGTCTAAAAGTCCTCTTTAATAGACAACATTACATTCATTCCACACCGGAGAGAGACTCATCGGTTTCGTAGCTTGGGCTGCCAAGCCGCCGGCTGTGCAGTAAAGAGCGGCACTCTCCGTCCAACAGAACCAACCATGACGAGACCACCATAGGCCCACGAGACAAGGCTAGAGGTTCTCCAGGCTCTCCCCCATACCATCAACAGAAGTATCTATATTTACACTCAGATTAGCTATGGTGAATACTGTTTCCATCTCGCCTACGCTGTTCAACCAGATCAGACAGAACCATGTGACACAATATATATATTAAGTACGGAGAACGAATACGGCGTACTAGACTAGCACTAACGGTGTGATATGCAGCTGGCACACTAGGCAGTATAGGAATAGCTCCCGTGACTTTCATTTGTAGGATCTACCTATATATAGGCAGAGACAGTTTTGCCGACAGCGATACTTCCCCAGTTGTGAACTTGTGTGTTACCACTTACAACTGGTGGCGAGCCTGAGGCCTCCAACGCGAGCAAAGATCGCGGCCGCGCGACGCTAGTCCCCAAGCGGAAAGACCAGGAGACAGCGTTTTCTTCAACCAAAACCAGGGCTTCTCGACTTTTCCCCATTACTCCTGATATCCACTTCGCTTCCTGAGTGGAATAAGTGCTTTATTCCATTCACCTGAAATCGCTGCTTCCATTGGTAAATATGTCAAAACATGTTGAGAAGCTGCTTCAATCGGGCAAGTCCTACCGTTAGAAAACAGATCGTCGGAACGTCGGAACGTCGGAAACCCCAACTTTTTACCTCCATTGACCAATTTATGGCTCTCTTATTCCCTCGCGGCTGCCCGAAGCTGGCTCGCCATCAGAGCATTGTACGTATTCCTCGCTACAATGTCAGACTCCGATCACCAGCAAGGTGACTGCATTGACGCCTCCCCGGGCGCAGAGCGCCGCAGTGAATCAAAACCTTCCACCGTTCCAGACCCACATCGTGTGGGGAAATGTCAGCGGTGGTCAATATCCGCCAGCCTGAGGTCACTGGATAGCACAGCTCATAAAATCAACACGTAAGTGTCGTTTACGTTCATTTCTCGAAGTCCTGATAGCTAATGCTGGATGGTCAACGATAGCCTGATCTCTAGCGCAATTGGTCAGGACACCGCTCTCGGCTCCATTGAATATCTATCCCACGCCCTCCACTACTTTCTCCTCTCAAGAATCTGGAGGAAACTAAAGGCTCGCCTATATGTTCTGTTGAAAGTGATTCGCAGGCGTAAAAGTACCCCATGTCAACATCGATCCAATCCTGAACCAGCCGGGACACCCCCGTGGTCACCGCTACTATCACTTTCAACGTTGATGTACGACACTCGTTGCACTCTACGTCTCCTGGGATTATTCTCGATATGGACCTGGGGCTCGGAAACCGCAAAGGCTCCCCCGGTGGATCGAATTGTCCGAACAATCACGCGGTTGCAGTTGTTGGCGACCACATCGTACCAACTCTTGGAGAATGTCGCTTTTCTCATGTCGAAGGATGTTTTACCGGAGCGATTATGGGACAGGTTGGATGTTGACAAGCTATATTCTTGGAGTCTTCTTTCCCTATGTGCACATATGACGCTCCAGTTGGGCAAGCTTTGGCGGGAGAGTGTACTTAGAAAGGAGGAAGATCGGAAACTAGGGTTATCGACCAATGGGAGCATAAAGATGATTGATAAGGAAGACGACAATGCGACTGAAGCCGGCGACAACAACAACAACACGGAAGTATCAACGCAGCAAGAGGAAATCACTGAAGCGAGGAAGAGCTTAATATCGAGCTTGACTTGGGGCGCATTATGTGCGCACTGGGGCCTGCCTACTGGAATTGGGATTCCGGAGGACTTCATCGGGGCGTTAAGCTTTGTTGCTGATGCTTGGGATCTAAGGGATACATGGAATTCAATCGAAGTTCCGTAAGTTGGATGTTTCTGCGGGTTACATGCTAGAAATACCAGGTAGCGCATTATTCACGTTATCAGGAGGAGCAATGCATCATGCTCAATGGGGATCGTTCCAGTGAGGATGGTGATCTACAGAACATGAGTCTCATGTATTATATGAACCTGAGCCATTAGAACTGCTACTGAATCAGATGCGCCACCAGATTCCCACCTTCCACCGTTACTGCTCAGAAATTCCCATCCCATTGCAAGCACACAGTGTTATAGTAACCGGCCAACGGATATGATTGTGTGAGCCTTAAGCAGTGGAGTTTCAATTGAGTGATTGGCCTCATATCTTTCTAAGTGGATGTCTGGTTAATGGAGAATCTTGAAAGGGTGTCTGTTATAAGAGTTGCAGGACCTGTTCATCATGTGCCATTGCGAAAACAGACAACCATATTTCCACTCTCGGGATCAGTCACTAAGGTGATAGTGCAAAAAGCACGTATTTATGCCGTTGCTTCTTTCGGTATCGCATTGTTCCAGTTCACATCCCAACGCCATGAACCACTTAATGTTAGCTGGCTCGTCGTGCATGATTTGTCTTTCGCCACGGTATTCAGTTTATCCCGAAGATTCTAGCTCTTCCCATAACTCTCCTCCTTGTACCAACGCCTCCTTCTCAGGCGGTCGCGACAAAGTTAATATGACTCGACTTGGTATGCAGTGTAAGGTCCGTTTTGAGCTTTGCCTATGTTTGGGGACATTGGAGTAGAGTTTCGTGAAATTCCGAGATTGAAGCTTGCTACCGGATGGACTTTCTCACATTATACCTGATTTGCATATTCAACTCTCCAGATTGGGTGGTCATTGATCAACCAGCCAAGCTCGTTCACTCTGACAGTCCCGGTCCCCCTCATGTAAATCAAAGGTCCAGGTTCCGACCATAATTGTCTCGGGAATGGGAAGTGCTTCAGCGAGCCGTTCCGCCCCAGATCCATAAAATACCCTCGACGAGTCGTCGCCATCTGCATACCCATTGTTCTGCGCCTCCTCGAAGCAACGAGTCGGGCTTGCCTGGCTCTCAGTTTCGCCCATGATGTTCGAGAGAATCCAATTTCGCATCCAGATACACGACCTCGAGAGTTGTGTGGTGAGACGGCAGTGGTTGCAAGAGGGCTCTATGATTGGCGATGTCACAAACCTGGTTTCTGATCGAATACCACAACTCCCTGGGAATCTATTATGCGCGGAACTTCTTGAGGCGTGTCAGGTAAGATTAACCCATACTTGGAGGTTGACCGAGTGATCGTTATCTCCCATGTACTTCCTTTCCGACGGACTGTGAACCGACCGGAAAACTTGTATGGCTCCGATTATGATCTCATAATTTCCCGGACACGAGCCGATGTTCGGGCATCTTGTTGCAGCCAGTACTATGTCGGTGAGGATAAGTACATATCCGTATCTATCCAGCTGCCTGATAGTGGTGGGTGACTCAAAGACACACGATCTGTGACGCCACCGGGATAGCACTGAAAATGGCGGAGTGAGCCGCCACTGGTCTAGTTATTTTCTTTCGCGTGGACCTTCCTTGGCCTTAGCCTCGAAGCTTTGGACTCTTGAACCATGGAGAAGAGACCCACTCGGGTTATCTAGCCCCGGCGATAAGAGATAGTGCTAAGAAATAGCCTGAATGATGCGGCTTGACGATAACGGTTATCCTAGATACCGATATCCGAATCGTATTGCACGCTGCTGAGGAACAAAAAACAAGACAAAAGAAAGAAATTCCCTATCAGCACACTACAATGTCTGGATCAGTATTCACCATGGAGTTATCGAAAGACCACAGAGCAGAGAGACGCTGGAGCAATCGTGCCGCGTGGACCTTCCATGGACTTGAGAAGAACCCCATGGGGAACAGACCCACCCTGGACCTGCCCGCAAGGCGCTTCGGACACGAGCCTAGCGTCGAGATACGAGGGGACATACTCCGAAGCCAGATACAGTATATAAACTCTGACGCTGGCAAAAAGGATTTGGGATCTTTCTCCTCTTCATCCATCGACTCAAGGCGCCGTACGTGCGGTAATCGTACACCTCTTTCACAATGACCGACACAAAGACGGCTGTTCCTATTTCACACGATGCCTCTCCCACCTCGCCAACCAACATAACTGACCAGAGTCAGGGAGTCACCATGGAGGCCATTCCGCTATGGAAACGTGTATGGCGGCACAGTCTGACGCAGATGATGCTTTTGAGTGTCCAGGCTTTTTGCGGGCCCGCCATGTCTGATGCGATTACAGGTACGAGATCTATACCATTATCATATCCACATCAGGCATTGAGGAGGGTTTGAATGTGCTGCTGACCTTTTCAAGGGCTCGGCGGTGGTGGCCTGGCCACTCCTCAGGTGTCAAATATTTCGACCGCGATCAGATATGCCACGCTGGCTGTCGGTATGTATCTCGGCGAATTCCAACAATGACTGTCAGTGTGCTAATGGGTGGATGCCCGATCAAGTTTGCTTCTTGGGCGGTCCTATAGTTAATAAGATCGGTGTCAAGTGGGCCCTGGTCATCGGCTCTATGTCTTTCCCAATCCAAGGGTCTGCATACTACTGCAACAGCAAGTTTGGAAACCAGTGGGTGAGTCATAGTGTTTCTTGAACATACCCACCGGCTGCATTCGGCGACTTGGCCTGTTTTCTTAAAGTACGGAATGCCTGACAAAACGCCACTTTGTATAGTATCTCATTCTCAGCGGTGCGATTGGCGGTATCGGAACGGCTTGCTGGTATGTCGCTGAAGCTGGGGCCATTATGACGCTGGCACCATCTGGTGCTCGTGGAAAGTACCTAGCACTATGGATTGTCTCGCGAAATCTTGGACAGTTGGTAGGAGGCGCAATCAAGTAAGCTTCTGGAAATCCACACTAAAAGCTTGAGTGATGAATCGATGCTAACTGAAGGCCCACTCTTTTTGTAGTCTATCGAAGAACCACGAGAAAGGCGCCAATGGCGGAGTCACACCCGATACTTTCATTGCCTTTGTGATTATTGAGTGCATCGCGTGAGTGTATTCTCCCTATGCACAATCTCAAGGGCCGAAACTAAATGATGCTTCTTGCAGTCTTCCATTCGCATTATTAATCACTCCCTTTGAACGCGTTATTCGATCGGATGGCACCCAAATCGTGACCGCAGAGACCCTCTCTACCAAGCAGGAGCTGAAGCGCATTGTAAAAACCATCACCTCACGACTGATTGTCCTTTCGTCGCTGTGGGCATTGTGGTCGTTTTTCTACACGTAAGTCATACTTTACACCCATATCCATTGATGAGACGACAAGGAAACATTAACAGAACTGGCAGTGGTACTTGGACTACCTACTTAGGAACCTACTTCTCCGTCCGGGCCCGGGCGCTGTCATCTCTGGTTTCGCCCTTCTTCTGCATGTAAGTCGAAGACATGTTTGATTTCTCATTCTTCGCACTGACCAAGCACTTTCCCTAACAGCATCGGCTGCTTCGGTCTCGGCTACATCCTGGACATGAAAGGACTCAGCCAGCGCCGCCGCGCACAAATTGGTCTTTATACCGTCGTAGTCCTCAATGTCGGTGTATACATCTGGTCCATCGTCATGCAGACCAAGTTCAACCGCCATGACCCTGGCCACATTGATTGGGATGACGGACTGTATGCTTCGTCCTTCCTGCCGTACTTCTTCGTCCAGACCACAGGTCCGCTGTCACAGTCGTACATGTATTGGCTTCTGTCATCTTTTGCAACGGACGCGCAGGGTGAGTGTTGGAACATATCTGTGTTTGAAGATGCGCAAGGATTCGTTTATATGCTAATGGCCCGTTAGAGAACGTTCGGAACGGTGCCGCATTCAGATGCATTGAAGCGATCGGCCAAGCAATTGCCTACGGCATGAACACTCAAACAACGAGTAACCCTCTCATCGGATTGTATGGTTTCCCTTCCCACTTCTATATTGTAAGGTTAAGGGCATACTGACTGGCCTAGTTGCGTGACGTTCGCCCTCCTCGGAGCTTCTCTGCTCCCCATGATTATGCTGGTCAACACGACGCCGGACCGCATTCCCGCTGATGTAATTGCTGAGCAGCAGGATGTCGCTCGTGAGAAGCTTGAGAGTGCGTAGGTTAGCCAGGGCTTCATGATGTAGATTTGTGTAATAGGCGAATGGTGTTGATAGTATCTAGTATGGATGTCCTATATACATAGTTTCTCTCCAAAATATCGAATATCTAAATTTGAATACTATTATGAATTTTTGACACGTTTCACATGACCACAATCAGGCTTAGATATGAAGTTAAGATTAAAATGGTCCCGCAGAAGTTATACAAAGGAGCAAAAGATGAAGGCGTCTGTGCAATTGCGTCGTCGAGATGGGCAAGAAAATATCGCCCTCATAAGACGGCGTGTCAAAGGATGCGGAGCTACTAGCTAGAAGGAAGACTTCGGATTAGAGTAGGTTTGTAGGTTGTCTCGATGAATGATTTATGTACACGATAGTCTATAAGATAGTGATACATCGGCTGAGCGGCATAATAAGATACCAGCAGGTCTCATGCTGGGTTTCAGGCATTAGGCGCCACTAGTGGAATAGAAACAATTCCAGCTCCCGGCTCCTCGCCCCATGCTCAAACGCGCTCCACTTCGACACCACTGGTCTCTTTTTTATCCGAACGCTGTTCCGATTGAATATACCCATATGCCTTGATTTCTGCCGCCATGAGTCTGGCCTGTTTCACTGGGTCCCCACCCCGGGAGAAGATGAGATCAATATCCTCAAGACGCAGGTTGCTCGTCTCGGGATAAAAGAAATAAATGATGGGGATAAAGAGGAGGTTGGTGACCATAAAGATCAGGTACGCCTTCCACTGGATGCGGTTGATAATGACTGGCGTGATCATGACCACAGTAAAGTTCCACAGCCAGTTGGAGCTCACGCCGATAGCCGTGCCTTTCGTCCGAGCTTCTAGTGGTAGAATCTCTGGAACGTACACCCATGGGACCGAATTAATAGACATACCATGGATCAGCATGTACAGGAAGAAAAAGGTCACAGAGGCGGAGGCATAGGCCTGTCCATTCGGCGCGTTGACCTGGGACAGCAGGGCTGCGACCATGAGCATACATACGCCTAGGCCAAAAGAACCAATCATCATTGTCTTGCGTCGGCCCATCCGATCCAGCATAAATGCGGGAAGCAGTGATCCGAGCATGAACATGATCTGGATGCACCCGCCGAGGATCTGCGACAGTTGATAGCTCATGCCCACGTTTTGTCTCAGGACCGCTAGTAGACACATCATCAGCCGTTGTTGTCAGGGTCAAGGAATACAGCACCTACTCGGAACAAATAAACGACCAGGTTAATCCCACCAACCTGGTTCATGAGCTGAATCCCCCACGCAAGGAGCACTCGTTGGCCGGTCTTCACCTCATCGTTCCGGAAGATCTTCCAAAAGGACTGTTTGCTGACCGCGTCTTCTAACTCAATAGCTGAGAGAATCGCCCTGTTTTCGTTGACGATAAATTCGTCATCCCGCTCCCGGTTATAGACGGCACAGAGGACCTCCATGGCCTCTTCCTCTTGGCCGTGGTTCATCAACCATCGCGGAGATTCTGGGAGGCCAAACACGAGTACAATAACGAAGATAGCGAACACAATTTGCATCGCGATCGGCAGTCGCCAGGCAATGGGGCCGCCGACGAATGACATTCCAAAGTCAAACCAGTACGCCACAACAATGCCCACCGCGGTGAAAAGTACTTCGGATGAAATCAGGCGTCCTCGGGTTTTACCTTCGCACATCTCAGCTTGATACCTTATGTCTCAGTCAGCATCGTAGTTATTTTATGATCGCTGCCACCCAAGCTTACATTGGCACCGTGGATGTCTTCAAACCCGTGCCCGCTCCCGTCACTACTCGCCCGATGATCAGATGGGACACGGTAAACGCGGTAGTCTGCAATACTGCGCCGACAATGACCACGCCCATTGCCAGCCAGATGGTCTTCCGGCGGCCGAGCCTCTCTCCGATGAAGAAGTTGACTTAGTTTCCCTATGCGTCAGCTCGATGCTCCTTGGTTTTTGCCAGTTTACTTACTCAAGCACCCCAAGAGACAGCCCAGGTTATAGCAGCTGACTATAATTCCTTCCTCCGAATCATCGGGATAGTTGAACTGCTTCCTCCAGTCCTCATTTCCGACAATGCCGCTGAAGACGCCCTGGTCGTATCCGAACAAGACAAAAGCGACCAGACAGCATGCAGTGATAGCTGCCTGCAGGGATCTGCCCCTTCCATACCAGGAGCGCATACTGAACGGTAGGTAGTATCGTTAGGAGAAATGGCTCACGACCGAATACCACATGCCTATAGCCATGAATTTCGTCCACCCAGCGCGGTCTTTTATATCCTCCGTAAATCATGTCTCACGGTCGGGAAGACCCCCGATGATTGTGGATGAGAAGGTTCCCATCGAGTCCACTTGATGGATGGCAGTGGATCCCACGCGGGGATTTCAGGAAGCTGGAGACAACCATCAGATATGTTTGAGAATAACGCGGAGGGTGAAGGTCTGGGGAATGCCTGCATTGGGCAAGCGAGGCGCCAACTCGGCTGCCGTCCGAAGCCCATTGTGGCTTAACTTGCCTGGTTGGGCCCGCCCCAGGGTAAGGATTGCTCCGCGCCCACGTGACCCGCGCCCCAAGGGGCAAAGCGTGCTGGTTTGGGAAGCCGCAACCACTCCGTTGCTCCACCGCTTTTTCTGCCGAGATCGTCTATCTCACCCGGACCGTCCATCAAACCGAGAGCCTGCGAGGATTGCTCCTTTCGAGCGTCCATCATGATGTTGGGTTACATTGGCTTGGGGCACCTCCTGTTCGGTTGAGAACTGGTTCGGCAATGGGTCCAATGACGCTCATTGTACGGACTACATCTACATAGGGAGTCATGCAACACATCGAATGGTGGCATGGAAAGGAGGGACTAGTGTGATATTTGCCTTGATATTCAGAAAGTCCTGGGTCTAAGTCCAACTGAGTCCAAAAGAGCTTGGATATACTTCTTATACATTCGTGTAGCCGTTCGATATCCGTAAGACTGAGTCCCAACCCTCCACATCCAATCGGTTGACTGTATTATATATAATTTCTCCTGAGTTGTCCACTCCGGATGATACGTTTTCCATTTGGACACAACACCAAGTCAATTGGGGTCTATAACTTCAAAACAGTGTTACCCGTCTCCAACTGTGTCAATCACCAGTTCCAGCAGCTATCACTAAACGAAAGAAAAGTCAAACTCATCGGGGTTCCACATCGTGTCCGGGTTGATCAAGGCAGAGTCTGAAGGACATTTGGGGATAGTAATATTCAAAAAATTTCCCAGTTGATCGTCGATATCCTGAAACAGGGGATTCGCCACAAAATCATCGAAACCACTATCATCCAAGTCCCCAAAGTCGAACAATGGTTGATCTGTCATTGCGGCTGCCTCATTTTCATACAGTTGTTGGTCGTGTACTGCTTCGGCCGTGTTTTCTGCGCTCTCTTCAGAGTGGAACGAACCTAGATTGTAGACATCGCAGCTTGATGAAGCTGTAGCGACAGGTCCCTTCTTCTGTGTCGGTGCTAGTTGACTCGTTCTTCCAGCCAGGCGTTGCATGCCGTCCAGTGCACGCTGACCAAGCCGGGTCATCACCTGAGCGGACCACCATGTCGAGCTTAGAGCCTCGAGGCTCTTATAAAAAGTTTGTAGATGTTTCTTTGCCGCATGCTGGGCACTGGGAAGCTGACACCGCTTGAGCTGTTTATAGGATATGGAGAACGCAAGTGATATGGAATACGCAACTGTCGGTAAAGGTGCGAACTGACTAATGGCACACATTTGTATCAGGGTGGCTATGCGATAGACAGCCAGATCCTGTCGCAGGTACAGCGCGTGAGATCGAGGTTGGGCCTTAAGACCCCATGGCCGTGAAGCGAGGAGAGCTATTGCATGGTACGCCAATTCAAATGACACTGACGTAGTTCAGTCAGCGACCTGTGCAGAAGAAAGCATGAGAAGAATACTGACACATTTGATCCAAGGAGATATCCTCCGCTTGACATTTCCTGATCAGTTCTTCGAATCGGGGAATTTCGGGTTTGTTCTCATCCACCGGGGCATCTAGCCTTGGCCGATATACCACCATAACCTCGCCCATGATTGACGCCAAGGAAAGCCAGACGCGGAACGGGCTGTCGAAGAGGTCAATCACGTCTGTGAGTTGTTGTCCGAGGTCTCTGTCGTGGATCACCAGCGGCCTCCCGTGAATGGCAGCGGTCCATCGGTCAAGACTCCATAGGCACCAAAATAGTGTAACCAGTGGTTTTTCATGTCTCGCAGGCCCACACTTTAGGAAGTGTAGTCCAACCGTGTGAGCATGATGGATGGCTTGGGCTAAGTAGAGCGATGCGTCCTCGAAGCTCTTGGGTCCAGACGTATGCAACGAAGCAAGAGCAAGAATTTGTATTAACGTCATCCTTTTCCGCTCCAGACGCATGGTAATAGCATAGCAAAGATCGTCGTACAGAAGGTTGCTAAATTTGGGAGGAGCGATGGTTTCGCTACGATCCCCTAGCCGGAGCAATGGTTCCGCATCGCGTTCCTTTGAGGCCACCAGGCATATTGCCTGCACGAGATAAATAGAAACAGTATCATTGCGGAACTGCATTCGAAAGTCTTCCTCATGGACCAGAGGGAGAACGGGGTGGATGCGATGAAAATAAATGTTTATCAACGCTTCTTGCGTTTGTCGTGGCGGCAGAAGAGCACCCGCGCGTCCGGAATGTCGCTTGGGTCGAGACATCTGGTATCGGGTACTGTTCGATGAGCGTTCTTCATGAGAGGCATTGTCGCCCTTTTCAATGAATTCATTTTCTCCATCTAGCCAGACCCCAACATCCTGCTGGTGAGCACGCCCGCGCATGAGTCTCATACTACCATCGTCAACAAAGAGTACGACCGGGTTCAAGTCACCGATAAATCGATGCGTACTGGTATCCCTCTGTGAGATTTGCGAGACATTCTTTTGACTATTCATGGGAACTTGATGGGATTGCTGGGCACTCTGTAGCTTGGGTCCTGCAGGTGCGCCAGGAAGCCGCTGTGGAGCTGAAACACCCAGTGGTGATTGTGATCCCCGCGTAGTAGCTGGAGAATACTGAACAAACTGGGTAGTCGGCCGCAAGGGCGTAGAGAACGTTGATTGCTGGTTTGCTTTCTGATGGTAACATCTTTTCTACATGTTGTCCGGTGAGTGAAGTGCGCGCGCAGGGGTAAATCCCAACCAACCTTTCTCAGGCGGCATTTCTCACAAGCGCCCTTGGCATAGGTTCTTTTCGGGACTTTTCCATCTTGACTGATATGGAAGGTGAGGTCCATATCGGCTGACTCGTATGGCGTTGCTTGTTCAATCTCGTGGTGGCGACTCGCCCGCAGGTGATTCGGCTTTTGTGTCAAGTCAGAGGAATTGCTCGTAGCACACCCAGGGTGACGTCCACTTGTTTCAGCTGATTACCAACGAGTCTGACTCACGGCGTCTTTGATGCCTGTTGGGTAAATCTAGACAACGACAACGTCCGATCCACTTTTGGGGTCTTGACGTCCATTTCTACCTGATATGGCAGTCTTGGCCGCCGGGAGACTTACCATTTTGGGCCATTCCGCCCCTGATGCGGAAGTTCCGTTTTCCTGGCCTAAAAGGGAAACCCCTTCACCCATTGCGATATCAAAAAACATATAAGAAAACGATCAGGAGTCGACAGCACAAGTACAGCAATGTAGTAGTGGGATCAGCTTGACTGATCATAACGACATTGCATGCCTAGCGGCACATCGATACTCTTCACCATGTTGTTCAATGAGACCATGTGCTGTAGTCTAAGGTTCGATCAGAGTCCAAACTCCTCTCTCGACGTTTGCTCAAAACATGCTAACGACACCATGCTTCACATCTGCAGTTTACACAAGTCGTGTATCTTTCTTCCGTCCTCCAATTGCTCCGAAAACAAGCCTTGCATCTCTGGGAAGCTTCGTTTATCACTTGCGCAAGCTATAACCGTCAGAGGAATATCAGTCCAGGTGCGAGGTATAGCCAAACTGTGAGTTATTTGCTGCAGTTTCAGAATTCATATGTCTAACAAGAATAGACCATATGACGAGGGCATATTTTTCCAATCCTATCATGAAGAGAATACATTTGTCACAACGCAGCCGTTGGCGTCGTCCCATCAACAGAACCCATTCACCTTACCACCAGGAGACTACGAATTTCCATTCAGTATTCCTCTAGACAGCAACCTGCTTGAGACCATCACCTCTCTGGGGTCTAGCTACCGCTCCTACCAGGTACTTGCCACCATCAAGCGCAAATGGAACAGAAATGTCATTGTCTCTAAACCTATCCGAATCTACAAACGTTTTTCCATTGCGGATAGTCTCAACTGGTTATCGGCTTTGAATGTCAGCAATTCAACAATATCATTGCTGTATATGCAGGGCTAATTACGTCTTACAGGCAATAGACAAACAGTGGGATAATGTTGCACAATATAGCGTTTCCATCCCCGATGTCAATATCCCGTTCGGCGCAACATTTCCCGTGAAACTTCGGCTCGCTCCATTGTCAAAGCGTATAAAGCTCCAAGCGTTAACGATTGATGTTCTTGAGCAACACGAACTCAGAATCAAAGCGCCGGCATCATACTCCGCACAGTTTAACGTCCACTTTCTATCATCCAAACAGGAGCACGTCATTTTCAGCGAGCGACACAACTTAGACGATTGTACCGCCCTAGAATCAGAGGATTCTGACCTTGAGTGGTGTATAACAAAAGCCATATCTTTGCCACAGGACCTTGAAGAGTGCACCCAAGACGTGAGCTCTAACACGATAAAGATCACGCATCATGTAGCGTTCACAGTCGAGTTACTCGGCGTGGGGGAGGGGCTATCAATGGTGAGTGAAATCGATTGCTTATATATTACAGAAAAGCACAACTGCCCAACTTCCCGGACTGTCTATGCTGACGCCTTTATAGATAAAAGGAACTATTCCATTTAATATTTACATGTCACCCCATGTAATCAGCGAGCACGGCACTGTTCGTGGTCTTCATATTGATCGATTCCATGATGATTACGTGCCTCCTCCTCCCTTGTATAGCAAACATCAAAACGATAGATTGCTACCCATGGCGGAAGCTTTGCTGGATAGTGACACGCTACGATTGGATTGCGAGCAACCGCCGGAGAACGCTTTCTTCTATTCCCCAACACTTGACTGTGCACCCAGTTACGAAACAGTGATTCAAAACTAACTATCAGTCGCCAACTACACTCGAGCAATATGTGCTTAGAATTGAATGATCGGGATATTCTTTGACCACTGATGCTACCGAATATCCTTCCATCGGCTGAATATTCAAGCCAAGCTTAAATAACCTCTAGCTGTATTTACGGCTTATGATTGAATGTGACTGGATATAATGTTTAATGCGCGCTTCTGAGATTGCGGGTCAATCTGTACCCATTAATATACGCACCATACGAACATACCATTCCCTGCTTCACCTTTATAGTAAAGCCACTATTTCCCTGATAAACGAGGATACTGATTTAGACAAAAAAAGGTTTCTTCAATGGTAAGACATTGGATCCCCAGTACTCACATGCCCACGTTATACAGTATAGAATACGAAGTTCGGATTTCTGGTATACCGTTTGATAGGAATTAATGTAGACTGACAAGCTCATAGGTTAGGGTCCCACCCTGTCGAGGTCTATGAGACGCCTTTCCTTTTTTTCTTTTTTTCTTTTTTTCTTTCTTTTTTTTATTTTCAATTTAGCTCCGAAAATACGGTGAGCATCCCCTTGCTTATCTCCCAGTTGCCAGAGATCAGATGACCAATGGTTCCCTATGGCCACCCCAAGTCAGTTCTTCTAATCTGCCAAACAGACACCAAACAATGCATCACTTGCATTGAAAAAACTCTTCACTACGCAAGAATACATCACTCTTGAGATAACCTCAGGTGATCATCTGGACCAGCGGAATCCTATTCGGCAGTGTGGACATCACATGAGGGAGTCCCAATCAAGAATCGCCCATATATCAAGAACAATCCGTGGGTTGCTCGTTGGTGATTCGTGATAGACGCTTCGCTGAAACACATTGGAAGCCCATGCCCCTACCTGCGGGCATCAACTTGACCTTCGTGAATCATCGGCTGTGCCCCAATGAGCTCCCGGTCAGCACAACCGCCACACACCTGGTCCATTCTGAACCCTGGCCACCCCATTAAGAGCCTTTTTGTTGCATTTTGGGTATGGAAGTCCCTCGTACTAGTAGTAATTGCTTGCTGCCCTGGGCCTGGCTATGAGACTTCCCTCGGGCGTCTTCCTTCCCAGGTGCCCAGCACACATGATAGTAGACCTCAGCAACTCGAATCCCTCACGCCACTTCCAACGCTTCTGAAATTCGTCAGGTGGGACGCAGTTTACTTTGTCCATATCGCCGAACATGGTTACGTTTACGAGCAGGAATGGGCGTTTGGATATGGGTATACTCAAGTCTTATCATTCCTCGTCTCTGGTACTATCCTGCTTATCACTATCTTTCTCCACCAAGTTTATTCAAATGCTAACACCAATCAGTTCTCCGCCGAAACAGTGGATTAAGTGGAGCCACTGCAGCCGCTCTTGTTGGAATTGTCCTGTCTCATATGGCACATTTCCTCTCGGTCCTAGTACTGTACAGACTGTCGATCAATGTCTTTGGACAGGACACAGCTACTCGGAGATTGACCTGCTTTCTTTCAGCTACCTTACATATCATTTGCCCAGCAGGAGCATTCCTCTCCGCTCCATACGCAGAATCTCTTTTCTCTTTTCTCAATATGTCCGGGTTCTACATTTATTCCTCCTCGTTTCTTGACGATAACGTGGGACGTACAGTAATTAGTAACGTAAAGTTACTCATCGCCTCGGTTCTCTTTGCAGCAGCTACTACGGTTCGAAGCAACGGGATTCTCAGTGGATGTTTACTTGCGTATGACGCTGTTTTGCTTCTTCGGAGAACACTCTTCCATGGTCCCATGAAGCGGGCCTGTCTTCGCTTATGCGTGACCGTTGTTGGCGGCTGTATAGTAGCCGCCGGGATGATCTTCTCCCAGGCTCTAGCATACGCAGATTTCTGCCTGGACGTGCAGACATCTCGACCCTGGTGCGGGAAGCTGATTCCCAGTATTTACCCCTGGGTCCAGCGTCAGTATTGGTTAGTAGATGGGATCTCAATTTTCAGAACCGTCTGACCCTCAGATTTTAGGGATGTGGGTTTCCTTCGATACTGGACGATCCGGAACCTTCCCTTCTTCCTACTCGCAATTCCCATGTTGCACACCCTCTGCCGGTCTTCTATGTGGGCAATGTCTTTATCCAAAGCTGACAGTTCCTTATTTTCCACTTGGTCCGCTTCGTTGTTGGCTCGACTGGCTCTCCCCCAGGGATTGCTAGCCGTCCTAGGCATCACCAGCTATCATACCCAGATAATCAACCGAATATGCTCTGGATATCCACTATGGTACTGGTACCTTGCGTGCCAAATTGTTCGTGAGCGCTATGAGCCGCGCGCAAAGAGAAGGCCAGGCTGGACCTTCGCTATACAGGCCATGGTCATATACGCCATCCTCCAAGCAGCTCTCTACGGTTCCTTTCTCCCTCCGCCTTAAGGAGTATGATTTCCCCATAGTTAATGTCTCCGGATGGGGTATGTCTTTCGAAAGGTCGATCCATACAACCATGCTAGGGCTTCGATTACATCTTTGTTTGCGATTATTTCGGGTAGATTAAAGCTAAAGCGATCGATGTTCAGCCAAATAAGTGGAATGTGCAACCAATATAATAAACTATAAACGCAATTTTCTTGATGATGCGATTGCCCGCGAGCCTAAGTATATAAATATAATCTAAATGCAGGCAGACACATATCCGAAATACCAAAAGTGATCAAGAACACTTGAAAATAGCAAGAGAACGCTGGGTTGCCTAGTATCTCCTTCATTCGGGTGAATTGCCTGTACACCGGCGAATTCTGGCTCGCGGAAATACCCCCTTTTGTCGGTTGTCACCCAGTATTCTGGACTGAAATGGCTGTAGCCAAGTATCCGTGGTGGAAATTGAGGCACCATATCAGTTGAATGTGTGATACGAAAAGACGAGCCATGCCCTTGTCCCGTAATAAACTCTGCGAACGCACGATTCCCAACCCTTGGTGAACCATACGCGTACTTTCTCATTAGCATGCGGCAGAGAAAATGACGACAACCTGAGCCTACCAAATCAATAAACCAGCCAGCCTTTCTCAACTCCATTGCGGCAATCGTACCTATGGCAGCCCCTGCACTATGTCCAGTAATGACAATGCTATAATCGGGGTTTCTTCCAGCGAAATCTAACAACTCATTCGTGACAGCTGCGGCCACTGAACGCCACGATTGCCAGTATCCTGTGTGGACCGCGCAACCCTCGCAAAGAAAACTGATATCTATCTGCGAAATTTTCAAATTGGATATCCATGTCCTGACGGATCGCGTACCGCGAAAGGAGATGACCAACAGCCTGTTTGTGCGGTCCAGCGCAACAAAACCGCGGACATCCCCAGCACGTGATCTGAATGTGGTCTCAGAGATATGCGACTTGTGGGGAATTGGGAGACGGTTTACGTATTAATCTCCAGTAGCGTTTCTGTATTCGCTTCCTCCACCAGCGGACAGTTTCCAATTGGGCAAAGTACTTTGTCTCCAGGGGAGTTGGTGTTGCCTGAGCAGTAGGCCGCGGCTGTGTATTGCGCGAATAGGTTCAGCTGGGCTAGAAAGGAAATGGGACTATCTGAAGAGAGCATGGAGTGGTTAGGGCCTGACGTATGATTGTTGGGCTACAGGCCTACCTCTGGAATTGGGTTGACTAGCAGGTCTAGTAACTAGGCATCCTAGGCTAAGTCCCATGTAAAGGAAATGAATGATCGGTATCAGCATCGAATGGAGTGTCACAGCCATTCCAAAAGCCGCGCAAGTGTTGTACGAACTCTTCGCTGTCACCAGAAGAAGACGCGGCCAATTCTTGGTCGATACCCATATACTCCCGGCGCAGAAGCCCAAGCGGGGATGTATTACGTGGTCTCCTCTGTCGCAGTCGAGAAGCCGCTTACATGCAGAATTGCAATTCCTTGCACTGGGGTGATAGGAGATGCATTCGGCAGTTCGAAGCTCAAAGCCCTGCAGCAGGCTCTCGGCTATACAACGGAGGATAGGAATGTGATAATATGACAGGCTCTCCAGGAATGGCCCCATACGATTGGAACTGTTCTGTAGCGGTTATTTCGGACAATTTTACGCTCTGAGAGATTCGAATGAATACAATTGAAGTATAAATCTCTGGAACGTCCCGAAACAGTCGATAAAAGTTAATGAATGCAGTGCAGGTCAATAGTACGGAGAAATACGCAGTCTAAAATCAATAGTTCCATTCGATCGGTTGAGCGGTCAGTTCAGCACGCGATAAGATACTTGCTGGGTCAGAAATGGTCCATTTCTCTGGAGCGTACGTACTAACTACCCAAACTCAATTCTGGGCCTTGCTTGGAAGGCCCAAGTGGTTCAGGTTGGCTAGCGCTCCCTGATATACTAATTTGCTCTATTCCCTTTCCTTTATAGTATACTAGTCCTAGTAGTATCCTCGCGTTCACCCAACTCGCGGATACCCTCGGATGGCCGGAAAGCGCACGAATCGCCCAAGTTAAGCCAGAGCTTAAGCAAACGTGAAGTCCCCGAAGCGGAAACGATTGGTTACTGAGTTATTTGTCATTGGAAACAAGGAAATCAAAGTGTAATGCAAGAAGGATAGCAAGCCCGCCTGTTGACACGAGAAGCGTGGCAAGGCCACATCCTATCGACGGAAGGACGCTGATTTCCACAGACCGCTCGGTGGAGTCTACGATCGACAGATCGTGCTGAAGGAGCTTAAATTGATAGATGAAAAATTGCAAACTCGGAAGGTGGGCTAGCATGCATATTAGCGCAATTAGACTCGGCAGACACGGTGTCCATGATGCAGAGTGTCGGATCCTTTCATGTTACCGAGATCGTCCGGCATCTCCTTGCATTCTGTGGGCCGTGTGGTAGATGGAAAATGGGTAGGATGTGGAGGTGTGCCGTCTGACAGTACAAGAAGCATAAAATAAGTTGGTGAAGACCCCCACGAAGGTCTAGCATCTCAGTAATCCCCCTCTCAAACCTGAACTCGCAGTTTCATACTCTCACATCAGCTATGGACACAGAGTATAGGGCTCGGAAGGAAGCCTTTGTTTCGGACCTGTCCGGTGGAAATATCATGGAAGTTGGCAACGTCCTCTTCATCCCCTTGGTCAGTATGCCCGGTGCGAGTTCACTCGACTTGTTCTCATATGGTTTCAAACATAGACTGCAATCCTCCTCTGGACTACTCTTCGTACGCGATGCTCGTTCTTGTTGAGATATCGCCTTGTCAGTGTCCTAGTAGAATTCGTGTTCACGGTAGGGACACCGCTTGGTGCTTTGACCGTCTGCTATCCATTCGTGCCAGCATTAAACATCGGCCTTGTTCTTTGCTCTGCGTTCTTGTTCCTCTGCGTGACGCCATCCATAGATGGGAGTCATACATCGACAAAGCCTTCAAAACAAGGAGCGGGCCGCCAGCAGCACTATCTGTTCATCTCACATCATCGTGGAGCACTGATGATGTTGGTCTGCCTTTCCATCTTGGCCGTTGATTTCCAAGTGTTCCCGCGAAGTCTAGCCAAGGTTGAGAACTGGGGGATATCTGTGATGGATCTCTTTGCTGGAAGCTTCGTGTTTTCGTCGGGATTCATCTCCCACAAGTCCAGCCGGAACGCAGCAAAGCGGTCTTTTTATCTCACATTATGTGGCCTTCTTCGACTGGCCGCCATGAATTTGCTTAATTACCAGCAACATACCTCGGAATACGGGGTTCATTGGAATCTCTTTTTCACGATCCCCGCCTTGACCGCGATGGTCAACATAGTCGACTGCATCACCGCGGCTGTTCGCTTGCCAGATGAGGCAGTGGCCGTCGCAACCGTGGTGACAAGTGAAATTTGCCTGAGATCCAGAGGCCTGCAGGAGAATCTTCTCAGTCTCGACAGAGGAACCGGGTTTATTTCATTAAACCGGGAGGGTCTTTTTTCCACCGTCGGGTACGCGGCAATTTACCTCATTGGCCGCGGTGTCGGTTCTCATACTTTCATGCTGCTGTCATCTCAGAACCGGTCGAATATTGTTCTTTCAGGGTTGGCGACACAGGCATTTCTATGGGCCGGATGCTTTGCTCTAGCCTCTACCGAGGCCGTTGGGTTTGGATGGCAGATCCCAGTCTCCCGCCGGCTCGCCAACATATCCTATGTTTTCTGGGTGGCAGCGGTCAACAGTATCTGGCTGTTTCTATACTACTTCATCGATTGGGTCCACACGACCGCAGGCCAAGGGTCAGGTAATCGACACCTGCGCAGCGATGACAATCCTGTTACGAAGTCTGTGCGAAGCGATATAATCTCTGCCTTTAACGAAGCTGGTCTTGCGGTCTACCTAATTGCAAACCTCATCACCGGAGGGGTGAATTTGGCAGTGAACACGCTTGATATGTCCGGGTCGTCGTCAATGGCTCTCCTGGTTAGCTACGCCATTGTTCTCACCGCTGTAGCTTTAGACTTACGGTCATCTGAGAGAAAGCTGAAAGTGTAGGCTAAGAAAAAATCGAAAAAGAGCGATATGAAGTTTACCCACAGTGACCTCCCCCGCAGCAGCATCATGCTTAATTAATCCCTGGCAAAGCTGGGCCTTGAGGAAGATATTAGAATGAAAACAGAATACATTACTTGGGATCTCAATTTGAAGAGTGTGGTTTAGTCGGTCAGGTCAGACACAAGCTTTAGAGCCACCTCGTGTGTGGGCAGAATATCATGTGCAGCTAGGTCCCAAGGACGAACTCCGGGGCTTGGGGATAGTAGGAGCTACTTAATATTAGCCAGAATTAGGATGTCCCCGGGAGAGAAGTACGTTGAGAGAGGTTCTTTAATATCAACAGACGCCGGTAAGATAGTGAGACAGTACTGGCCAAATTCAACGATGCACTGCGCAGCACGAGCAGACTGTCACTGATTGCGCTGTTGTGTGATGGTTGACCCGTCTTTGTTCGGCGGACGTATATCCTCGAGGTCGCCCTCGTTTCCACGCCAAGGCATAGATAGGGGAGCGTGTCGCCATTATTCATAAACAAGAGCCAGCTCGATCGCTCGGCGCTCGAGAAGACAGTGAGAAGATCCATACTTGAAGCTTAGTAAGTTCTCCAGAATGCCATTGCCATCAGAAGAGCAGCACTACACGCAGCAAGCCTCGGTGGAATCTCAAGCGATGACAGATGCTTCTAGTCTGTCAATATAATCGCCACAAATATATTCCATTACGCGACGGAGAGTCTGGGCGAGCGCATTTCATGTTTTTTCAGTTGAGGTCCGACCAGCAAGGTCAGATAATGGGCCCCAAACGTGCACTTCTGCCAGCCCTGGCAACTCATTGTCCTCACCGACCTCGGTCGGTACGCCATATATGATATAGAACTCCCACGACTCACCCACGGAGATGAAGCCGACCAATGGGGGTGGCAAATCTGGCCCTACTCGATGCTCAAATGCCCATGAGAAGAGCCCGGCTGCCCAGACTCCAGGTTGGATCTCAGCTTCCAACAAATTTCCATATTTGGGTTTAATCTCACAGCCAGCACCTAACACTTGGGCTCCTGTATGAGGGTGGTCGACATGGTTGGCGTAACCGTTGGTGAACCTGGTAGCGCTTTTCTTATAGAGATTCTTCCACGAATCTGTAGAAAACCCAACAACGTAGTCGACTTTGCGATGACATCGATCTCGGGCGGTTTATTGCGGTTGGTAGCAGGTGTGGGCCGATTCACTCTGGCTATGAAACCTGTCAGTCAACGACATTGTGGGCTAAGGTAAACACCAGTCATGACATACATGCCCCAGGCTTCTAGAGGAAGGTCCCCGATGGATGCTAGCAACATAGGCCGAGTGACCTCCGTTACCCAGGAACTCTCACTTCGCTGTTGCCTTGCACATTTCCAGGACCCGGTGGCTGCCTCTTGGATCTTAGCTGACTCTGGTCGCCAACTCGTTTCTTGCGAAAGAAACCCGAATAGGCTTTTGGCAGTAAAATCTTTCGGCTCGTCCCGCTCGTGAAAATAGTATACTCGCGGTGTTGCATTTGCTAATAGCGTCTTATGGCGGGCTGGGCTGGGAGACCACTGTCGTGCTTGACTGGCCGTTGAGGCTGGCTGCGACAGAAATGTCCCGTCATCGCGAAGAGTAGGCAGCTGTGAGGATGTGTCGGACGCGCTCTCCAATTGACTTTTGCGTTGCTTTTTGGAAGGCTCCTTTATTGTGGTCTCAGAGTCGTGGATTCGTTTCAGGGAGGGCTGGGGAGGCGACGTAGAGAGCGGGGTAGGGAACTGCGTCTCTTCGCACTCCGCGGCGCAAATCTGGTCAAGCCACCGTGTGACTTTGCCAAGGGTCATGGTGACCCGTTTATGGAAAACATTTCAGCCGTCGCGACCGGACTGATTGCCTGAGATGTATTGGGGAGGGATCAAGAACAAGATAATTGCCAGGGTGAGGCCAACTTGCTTAGTCAGTGAGATGGTTGTTTACGTCGATAATCGATAACTGACAACGATAACGATAACGATAACGCTGCCACTCTCCCTTTTCGCTGATCGCTCGGTATATTTCCATTATGTGCCTACTTCAATACAAATATACCCACACAGATCGCCTACAGGCTAAACCAGCACCGCAAGCCTCGGGACCTCCGTGAGGACCATCTCACACGGGAGCATCATAATGTGTACAATTCACCCACTTCTCTCTACATTCGAGCTTTGTTAATCTTCGTTATTTCAACTGGATGAGCTCGTCGACTTTGGTTCCACCATATGCATACGCAGCACAGCTATTCAGTCTTGCCAAATCTCTCTCTGTGCTCTGCCCATAGGCGATCTCGGAGTTCCTCGTCCTGCAGAACTTCAAGGCCTGTCGCAGCCATGATCGAAGCGAACCGTAAACACGACTCAAACGCCTTCCGTGTTCCGGCTGCCTTCTCAAATCCAGGATGGTGGGGTCCGATCGTCGGTGAATCCACCTCGATAAGGAATCCAGGATGCAGGCTTGGAAGCTCATAGCTCACATTACCTGGTTTGACGGTTAGTATCAGTGGCTATTGTGGTGATGGAGAGTCCAACCTTGATCTGTTGATGCGCCACTGACTGTAGGCAATGATTTCATGTAATTCTGCTTTTGCTCCTGCGAATGCTTATAGAATTTTTCGATGAGGAGATTACTGCACTGTAATTCCTTGTAGTTTTCCAGCCTGGACGCAACATCGTTAGCAATAGCTTATGGGGGTTTCCGGTTGCTACGCGTACGTACCAGTCAAAATCAACGGTGCACCCGGCAGCTTTAGCTGCCCCCTCACAGCAGGCAGTCACCCTCTGGACGGTGTCGCGCAAATCCGTATCTGTCTCCGCGCGGACGAAAAACTGGAGCTCTGTGAGATGCGGAATCACATTGGGCTTGTCACCCCCCTTGGAGATGATTGCATGGATGCGCTGATTCGGCGCGACTTGTTGTCGAAGCATGGCCATGTTGCTGTATGCGGCTACTGCGGCATCCAATGCGTTGTGACCCAGCCAAGGGGCATTGCCAGCATGAGCACTAACGCCGCGGAAGGTCACTGTGGCTCCCCCACGAGCCATACAGCGAGCAGCAGCCACACCATCCACTGCCGCGCCAGGGCCAGGATGCCCCATGAGGCAAGCGTCGACGCCCTTGTAGGCGCCAGCCTTCAGAAGTTCGATCTTACCGCCGCCGCCCTCTTCTGCTGGAGTGCCGAGGAGGCGTACACGGCCCTCAATCTGGTTGGTGTTTATGGCTTCCGCAGTGGCAAGGAAAGCTGCAAGGGACGAAGTGGCGATCAAATTATGTCCACAGGCGTGACCAATTTCGGGCAAGGCATCGAACTCCGCATTATAGACAATCAAGCCTCCACCGGTCCCGACCTCGACTTCGAATGAGGTCTTGAGTCCATAAGCATGGCGCGTGACGCTGTATCCGAGTGACTCGAGGAGGTTGCATAAGGTGTCATGGGCGCGGATCTCTTCATAGGCAAGCTCTGGATTGGAATGGATCTAGATGGAAGTAACAGATTCATGAGATACGTCTAGTACCATGTGGATGTTTGGTCACTCACCTGCTGGTTAACTTCCCAGAGACGCTCCTCGTGTTTGTTTATTGTTTCCGCAATCGACGCCATGTTGAGAGCTATTTGCAACCTTGGATGTTTCGATGTACAAAAGACGATCCCAAGGATGCTAGTTTTGTACTTATACTGCTCTACATATGCTAGTCTACTTATACTAATTTAGGGCGTATACGGTGGATGCCTGAGTGTGGATACCTGAGGAAACCATTTTGATATCGGCAACTGCCCGTCCAATCAACGGACGGCCCTCGCTTATCCCGCAACCAATTGCCGAACGAAGCGGCAGCAGATCCACTTAAAGTCCAACAACGCCCGTTCATCTCTTCTCCTGTCTGCCATTTATGCAACAAGATACTATCATATCCCCGTGAAGTTATGTCTGGACGCCATGCATCGCGATCTCGCACCGGTGAGAATCTTGATTTAAATCGAGTAGTTTGCGTTCCCCCCGCTAAATGATCACGCAACAGGGTGCGCGACGTGTCGGACCCGGAAGATTAAGTGTGATGAGACGCATCCTGCATGTATCCGATGTATAAATGCCCAAATGCAATGTGAATGGACTCAAAGTATTCCGAGGCAACCCTCCAGGTCGAAACCAGTATCGAAAGCGTCGAAGGGTCCAAGCCTACAGCGAACCTATCACCCACTCCGGCCACGAAACATAGGTCCAGGTGTGCATCTTTCTTTCCTGTCTTTGCCAAACTCCCGGTTGCTATCATCCAGCGAACGGGAGTACTTCGCGTTCTTTCCCCATACGTCCATGGTGCGGTGGCTTGGGAAGCCATGGCAGTGGGCCTCCCTTCATTATGTGTATAGTCATATCGCCCCGCACTCATCGGTCGTAACGAGGATGATTTTGGCAATTTCTGCTACAGAGCTGGAAGGGATTCGCCACATGGAACGACTTCGAAGCGAGCAGCTGGCTTCACATGACCAATGGCCTGGCGAAGCTGGGGCAGTACACTACCAGAGCGCTCTACGCGACTTTCAGCTCATTCTTGGTAAGAGCCAGGGGTCCCTATCTCCTCAAGAAGTGGATGAGATCGCGACGGCATTTTTCCTCATGGTGACCTACGAGTATATGTTTGGTCAGGATAGCGCGGCCGTAGAGGTGCATATTCAAGGCATCTACACTTTCCTCAAAGCTCATGATTTAGTTCCGAAGCTTGGCGAACCTCGCCAATGTGCTAGACTACCGGTACTGACGCAACAGTTATTACTCTTTGTAATGTAAGTCCATCTTGGCTTGAAGGTAATTGTAGCTTTCTACTCATGACCACAGGTATGCGAACCTCACAATATGCAAGTACGGTCATCTCCGCCAATTGTGGGAGGAGGCCGGCCATGAATCCTCCTTTGTGTCTACTATGGATGAGCTCTTTTATAACACCCGCACATCACAGCATGCGATCTGGCCGTTTGAATACCCGACCGAAGCGTCGTTGGATGACATTTCGGTCTTTCGTCCGCTGGAGCTGACCAACGAATGCAAGAAACTGAAATATAAACTCTTGCGTATGCCTCAAAGGATACAAGTCAAACCCGAAAGCGATCTCTTGGATTACCTAGAGCAAGACCTACATGGCATTGGAAAGGTATAGAATGCACTCATCCCACGGGAAGTATCCAGCTGATCATCAATGCACGCGTAGCGATACCAAGATCTGATAGCCATCAGCCAGCGGCCGCACTCGGACTTGCGAAACAGGCAACTGCAAACGATCTATTTTGCAGTTGCAGAATATCATGCCACCACGATCCTTTTCTGCTATCGGAGGAGCTTGCTTGGGGGTATTAACACCCCGTCCGTGTCCTCCCACGACGCAGTGAATGGTGCATTAGCAATCATTAAGGAGCTTTCAGCCGGAAGTCCGTCGTGCTTAGGAAGGGTCCACTGGCCGATGGCCGTCCTGGCCGGGTGTATGGAGGACTCACCAGACCGTCAGTGGATCCGGAAGACCCTCGTAGAATCGCAGCATACGATAGTCTTTCCATCCATGAGGGGGTGGCTTGATGAGATGAGTGGCCTCAACCTTTAGTCTTGGACAGCCACCAAACCAACACAGTTGTAGGCATTATCTCTTAGTATCTATCCTCGGCTATCGGTCCCTATCATCAATCTTGTTTATTATATGGTAGAACATTGAATCGTCTTGGCAGGCCAGCCTCAAAGAGCAAAGTCTAGGAGTGCACTTGAGAAGGGCATTATGCTAGACCCATATTTGCCGACACAGCCAATAAATATCCGGCCCTAGATATGGCCATCTCCGCGATTCTGAGCTCTGAGTGGTTGCAAGTTAAGCGACGGCCAACTTAATGTCCGTCCAGTCGACGCGATAAGGTTTATTGGTATGGCAGATAACGGCATGAAGGTTGACGATCGTCTCTTACTAGTCAATATCTCGAGCGGGGGTACCGATATCATCTTATCACGGTCTTAAGCAGAGATGAAGGCCAACAACATCAGTATTTAGGAACGGTATGCAGACGTCTGATGGGTTTGTATCTTCAGAAGTCTTACCAAAACTGCAAGAAGTACCACCCCAATGCCGAATATTCAAGAAAAGCCAGAGACTTCCGAAAAGGACGTGGAGGTAGCCTTGAGCCATGCTACGGACCTCCATCGTGTTTCTGTCGGATATGGAGAACAATTGCCAGACCCATCAACGTCAACCACAAATAAGTCCTTGCTGAGAAAGATCGATTGGCGGTAAGTGCACTTGCAAGAATGAGTCTTGGTAGCGACGCATGAAAACTAACTGGATATTCTAGTCTGTTGCCAATCATGATGATATCCTATATGCTTCAATTTCTTGACAAGCAAAGTTTGTCCCAATCCGCCATTATGGGCATCGTAGAAGACCTGGTTAGTCCGATGGCCAAAGACAAGAAGGTACAGGCTAACCGGGGAGCATGAAGGGATTGACTGGCAATGAGTACTCTTGGTCAGGCTCGATCTTCTACTTCTCATACCTTGTATTTTCATACCCTGCCTCCATGCTCATGGTTCGGCTGCCGATTGCGAAGTTTCTCGCCACAACACTGTGAGCTGAAGTCTACTCGGACAATCACCTAGCTCTGAGAAATATTGACCATGCTGTTAGCTTTCTTTGGGGTGTCGTGCTTGCATGCCACGCTGCTACGCATAACTTCTCTGGACTTATGGTTACTCGCTTCTTTCTGGGTTTAACTGAAGCAGCTATTTCTCCTGGTTTCAGCCTGATCACTGGCATGTGGTATACCAGGTCCGAGCAGCCATTTCGCCATGGTGTATGGTTCGCTGGTAACTCTATTGCAACAGCATTTGGGGGGCTGGTAGCATATGGTGTCGCTCATATTGTCGGCTCCATCCCCGCCTGGAAGGTGCGAGTCGTACGTTGATCCCGTTCATCCGTGAGGCTAACGCTCGCGTAGTGGCTATTTATTATTTATGGACTGATTACCGTTGCCTGGTCGATTGTGTTTCTGCTATTCATGCCAGACTCTCCGTTATCCGCTCGATTTCTCTCCCAACCCGAACGCTCTGAGGCTGAAGAACGAGTCAAAGTGAACCAAACAACTATCAAACACGACAAGATTGAGTGGCATCAGGTATGGGAGGCCTTGACAGACTACAAGATTTACATCTTGTTCTTGTTCCAGATAGCCAACAATATCCCCAATGGGGGTTTGACCATGGTATCTTCCTCCTCCTCAGCCAGGGTTGCAATTATAGATGGTTAATGTGGCTGCATAGTTCTCGGCATTGGTCGTGAAAGGCTTCGGATTTTCAACGTTACAAGTTTACCTTTTGTCAATACCAACTGGCGCTGTGCACGCACTCTTTGCTCTAGGAAGGTATTTCCTCCAAAGTCTATCTATCTCTTTCACGGCTAAGACAGTTCAACATACAACAGTACCTACCTTGCCTCCAGGTTTCGAAATATCCGTTGCATGCTACTGGCTGGTTGCACAGCGATTGCGTAAGTTCCATCACCTAGTCCTGAAGGAGGCCAATTCTTGACGGAAAGCATATAGTCTTGTTGGGAGTATTTTGGTCTACGCCTGTGAAAGCACAGGACTCCGCCTATTCGGTCTCTACCTGTTTGTTGCCTATGCGGCGGGTATTCCCATGACCCTCTCCATGGTCTCATCCAATGTTGCTGGCTTTACTAAAAAGGCGACTGTGAGCGCGATGATGTTCATCGCTTACTGCGCAGGAAATATCATCGGTCCATTTTTGTTTTTCGCGCGTGAAGCTCCGGGCTACAAGGTACAACCACCCGGTCGGAATAAATGGCCACGCTAACGTTCCAATAGAGCGGTTTCATCGCAATGATGGTGTGTCTTGGGGTAGCAACTGTTCTGATCCTAGCCCTAGGGTTTTGTTGGCGGTTGGAAAACTCACGGAGAGATCGGGTATACGGGCCTACGGCCTTTATGCCGACGAATGGACCCAAGGAACTAGCTCAGGGGGTATCTGGGACGACAGAGGATCTAACCGATGTTCAGAATACGGCGTTCAGATATGTCTTCTAACCTTGGGGGTGTTCCTATGTTCAGAATGGAAGGGCGCTTCCGTTCGTTTTCTCCTTCCCCTTTTTTGGCTCAACATCTGAACACTTGATTGCGGTCCTTACATCAAATAGGAGAGCTTCAAGACGTGATCTTTCTATCATGGTATTTGATTTCAGGTCTATGTAGAGTTTCTCTGTTGGCAAGTCTTGACATGTCTGGATGCTCTTGAAGCACCAGGGTGCTTCCCCTTCCCATCCTGTTCTCGACAGGCTTTTGAAGAAGGTACATGCGGATTGTGGCATATTGTACAGGTATAGGCCAACGCTCTGTAATGGCCCCTTGCTTTCTTTCACGCAACTCGGGCTAGACGTTTGGCTTCTGTCCATAAACCACCGATATCTCGACGTATGCGTGGATACTGGGATTATTTAGCGCGTCACGCATTTTTGTAAAAACTACCTCAACCTCTTCCCTCGACCACTATTCTCTCGTGTTAGTTACTCGTTGATGCTCTTATATGGCTAATCACTTACTCCAAGAATCTTGGTCCACAACATCATTGCCCACATCTCCAGACTTTCCTCTATGACGATGCGACAATACCGACCCAGAGTCTTCAGATGCGGGTCTTTTGGCCAGGGGCCGATGGGTAGTTTGTACCGATGTTCTGTAACGTTAACGAAACCAGCCTCCGTCATTCGCTGTTTCGACTCGTCGACTATGCGCAAGGTTTTGCCGAATTTATCGCCCGCTTCAAGACTTTTCTCGCCCCATATCTCATACACCGTCCCTGTCGTGCTTCCGTCGTCCGAGACTGGGGTCACACTCATCTCGGCCTGCTCCAAATATCCACCTGGCTGAAGGTTCCTAAAAGCCAAGATGATTAGGATCAGGAGCCAACAGTCTGATTCGGGAAAGTATACTTCAGAGCCTGCTGGTAAAACCCGCCCCAATCTGCCACGCACCCGTATAGCCCGCGAACATGGATATAGTCAAATGGAGTTTTGTATACCCACTCATCACAGCAGTCGTCAATCTCAAAATACACATTGGGAGGCACAAGGCTAGGCTGGATTGGCGAGAGATCGGTTCCAATAACCGTTGCCCCGGGGTGAAGATCGGCAAAGTCGGTGGCCCAGGACCCTGTTCCCGTTCCAACATCAAGCACTCGCTGTGGATTCTTGATCGGGGCGAGGTGCAATCGGCCATGTAACAACAGCCCATAGAGGTGATGGCAGATTTCCATCGCGTCAATGGCCTTCTCGTCGTTAGATCCCCAGTACGATCCCGCATGATACGCATGGTAGCGTCGGCCATTTTCGTAAACATAGTTGGCGATGCTGCTGCGCATCGATGTTACCTCGGAGTCCGTCGCCACATACTGGGAGGCGTACTCATCGCCGGAGTCGACAAGTATTCTTTCGCTACTCTCTGCCATCTTGCTTGAGAGGAACTGTGAGGACGAGTTTGGCAATCGAATCTTTCTCCGACCGGGCTGATTTCGTGTGCGGGCGAATTTATCTGCTTGCTGGTCACCATGAATAATCATGAGGTTACATCTCGGGATAAGTGTCTTCACTCGAAAGACGCCGAGGCTCCGCCAGTCATATCGCAACACGAGATATCCATCTGATGACACTAGCCAGGGCAGTGGGGTTCGGGGAATCGGGCACTGGGGCCGCTCTTTAACGGTCACAGAAATTACTCCCAATAGAAGCCTTAGAGATGTGCGGGTCCACAGACCGACCATCGTTGTTAGTGAGAATACCTATGTCCAGAGCAGGCTAGCATTGTGTCTCGACTCCTCTCAACAGTCCTAGTTCTCTTTCGCTTGCTATCACGTCACCTGGCATTCCGAATTTGGCTTAACACGTGCCCTGTCAGTCGGTCGTTCTCCATGGAATCATGATGGCCTGATGTCTCCTTAGGGACTACAGCCTGTCGAACCAGAAGTGAAACAGAACACAGGGGAAAAATAGCTTGTGGCATCAAGCAAACTCAAGGCTTCCCTCTTGATCTTTCTCACACGCTTGCTCTGAGAATACCACCCCTCCTGATACTATGGATTTCGACGTGTATACACCACATGACGGAACGGGTGGTCTTCATTTTACGAATTTCCACATGGATGATTCAATCCTGATGCTCAAGAGAAGCAATTCTAGATTATGTGTCCACTTCAACTTCAAGCGCTGCTTGGTCCTGTCATCAGACTAGCGTCACATCACCGATTAGATTCCTGATTAACGTCAGACATCTGCTAGCGAACGGATTTTCGATCGTGGATACCACTTGCATACTTCGTGCCTCTACAGCAAGAGGATCGTAGTCCCGACCTCCCCTCGACCCAGTAGACGCAAATGAAACGTTCTCTTTTCATCTCTGGGTCTATCAAGGCACAGATCGCGTGAGCTAATCGAATGGACTAAAGGTCGCCCACTGTTAGCAAGGAGAAGCTTGAAGACTACGTTCGCATTTTCCAGTTGATTGAGGCATCAGTTCAATCATTGACTGTTCGTTGGTTCAGTAAATTGAGGATGTTGCAGAAGAATAATCCATGGCTGTTAAACGAGTGCTGCGGTATGGGAACAAAGAGGTTGACTCGGTCTTACTCACGCAAAGCACATGTACAATGCTTCATATACAGTCCAGAATGGTGATACCATTGTAGCTCTAAAAGGGGCAGACCGGCTATTTGGTATCCATTACTTTGGCGAGCATCCCTACAGCCTCGTCGGGGATATATTCGCCCATGGACTTATGCATGCTGAGCTTATGAAAGTCAGGATCCTGCCAAGGTGGATTATGATGTCAAGTTAATGTAGGATGCAAATACAAGCATACTTACGGGGTCGAAGACATACACAATCGATCAACGCATATGGTTGGAATTGAAAGAGGAGCTTTGATTCTGGCTTTCTAGGTTGGGGAAGCCCTCGTAGTATACGGCGTGACGTATGATTTGATCGCTGTCAGCCTGGCAAGTGCAACCAGCAGCACAACCTTGAAGTATGCCCGTGCATAAGTCAGTCTCGTGGAGGAGTTATCATGGGCAATTCCATTCCAGACTCGATTTTTCTATGTTTTCCTGGATGCAAAACGGTCAAGAGAGATGCGAGCCACTAACGGCAGTGTCTGGGAGCCGCCTGCAGGACTTCGGGCGCTACCATGTACAATCTATCGATGATATGACAAAGGACTATTGTTATATATTGTGAGGTTCGACATTGAAATGTTCCACAAATGATACAGTGATTGTAGCGTCATTTGTCCATATAGAATCTTGAAGAAGATTCAGATATATTATGAAATTTGGGACGATTTCTCTGGATTACTTGGATACGAGCCGAACCATATTGGAGCATGAATTTCTCTTGCGGCCAGTTCATATGCATTTGCAGCCTGTATACTTTTAGTTATACTGCTTTCAAGTACCAATATTGCCACTTCCAATTCTCACGCCAACCTTGCAAGTATTATACTACAAACTGTTAACTCCTCTATAGCTTACTGTCTACAGGCAGTGAAGTCTTAAATTTCCCGGTTCCTACGCGCGGTTTGATTTACTCTCCAGCTCTATATTCTCATTATCTAGTAAGCTTGTACATATACAGCGCAGCCTAGACTCGGGTCCCTGTCGAAGTCCATCGGAGAACGGTCGCACCGGGGTAAGAACAGTTGCGCTGGGAAGGGGTAGTCGCGCTGGGAAAAACAGGCAGTCGCACTGGGGAATAATGAACGTATTGTCGCATTGGGAACAAGCTTGAGGTCCTTGCCAACTTAAGCTCAGTCCAAACCTAGAATGTTAGAAAGCCTCCCTCCTTCTCACGCCAAAAGCCCGACACAGAAGAAAGATCTCGTCTCGTTCATTCAAGCGGATCCGGCCTTTTTCATCAGGAGCAATGTTGCTTTGTCGCCCGCTCCCTTGCGATAGTCTATGAGGTCTCGGCTGACGACCTTGGCCAAGCCTTCTGCCTCGAGCTTGTCGGCTTCAGCTTTGTAGCCTCCGGACACCCAAATCTCCTCGAGGACCGTGGCGACGATGACGCCGTTTGGCTTGAGAAGACGGATGAATTCTCTCAAGGCAGGGTCGGGCCCGACGTGGCCGCGTGTGAAGGTGCCACAGCATGTCACGATGTCGTACTTCTGGTCTGGTTGGTCGATCGGTTGGGTCAAGTCCACTTTGAAGAGGCTTCGATACACGCCAGTCTGTTCTGCTACCTTGAGCATAGCGGGAGACAAATCCATGCCATCGATGGTCCATGGGCTGCCTTTGGCAAGGGCTTCGGCCACAAGACCCGTTCCACAGCCAGCGTCCAATACGGTAGTCTCGGGGTCTTTGCTGGATGCAAGGGCGGCTTGGGCGACAAGGAGCGGAGCGATGTAGTTCTGGGATGCGTCGGCAAGGTCATCGTTGTAGGAGGCGGCCCACTTCTCATAGAGCTCCATACAGTCTTCCTTCTTGAGACTGTTGCGGGCTCCCGCCAGGTAGGTGTTTTCCGTTATTACTTGGGTTGCCATGATTGCAGAATGGAACTTGGTTGGATGGATATCGGTGCAAATAGGTGGGAGTTGAACTGGTATCAAAGGACTTGAGTTTTCAACGGAACGATTAGCAACAGGGGCTGTTCTTCCGACCACTTATATGGTGTCGGCTTCTCACTCGCCTTGTATACTTCAATAAGATCCCTGAGCAGCCCCCTCACTTCACATGGGAACGCTGGCGAATCCTATGGGACGGAATCGTTTTGCTGATGCATGGCGCACAGTCCTTCGTCCGTTCTCGATGGCGTGATGCCTGGCACTATTCACTGGCTTGCTCCGAGACGATCGCACTGTATCTGAAGCTACTGTCTGTGGCTTTCCAGGGTGGGATGAGCATATTACATCATGGGGGGGTGTTGGGATAGGGGAGAAGAGAACTACACTTCTGGTGGGGTCCAGGAAATAGCCTCCACTGTGACGACTCTTGGCGCAATACGATGCTTCCCCCACTATGTACGAGTTTCCCCGCGCGGCCT